ACGTTTCTAGCACTTACACGAGAGAATCTACCTGCCTGGCCTGTTTGGTAGTTTGTGTGCCTTCCTGCCAGCCTTATCTTACACCTGGTCTCCTTTTCTTCAGGATCACCTAACTCACTCATCTGCCAAGCCTGCCAGCCGGTTCACTTCCTCAGGATCCCCTCCACTAAGCCTCCTCCTGGCTTACTCCCCCCCCCAGCCCCAACCTCAGCTATCCACCATCTCATCACCACCACCTGTGTTAAGATAAAAGACAACATCGGCATTTGGATTCAGAACTTAATCTGTGACAGAAATATTGAAATATTGACTAGAATTTTAATTAAATTCATGTGGGTTTTGACAGTGCTTGTCTTTAATGGATCTGCGAGCTGTTCAATAATGATATAGCAACATAGCATTGAATCTTAAGTCATTCAAACCAAAATAGACTGAAATGAAACAAATTAATCCAGCTGCCTCCACAGCATATCTGCAGTAAGACAATACCATTGCCCTTTTTGTTCTTGAGGACAGAGGCAGCCAGTTACATCTCTAATCCAGACATGTTTAGCTGGATAATCACCTTTCGTTATATAATCCTCAGGTTAGGTTAGGCTTCATACAGATACATCTCATTCGCATCTGTCATCCAAGACAAACAAGAAGAGCAATCTGTTTAAATAGAAAAAAACATCTATTTCTTCCCTTTCTTTTGGTGGCTGAAGAAGGTAAGCTTGTGTATAAGTGTGTTTTGCTTTACTCATGATTTATAGTCAAGTGTCAACCTCTTTTCTCTGAAATGTTCAATAATTCAAAACGACTGGAATCAGCGATGGTTCATTTGTGCTGAGAACGTCTGGTACAGAGCATGTTTGAGGCACTACTCACGCTTTAATGAGACTCACAGGCATCTCTTCTCTGCTTTATAACATTTGATATATCTGGATCTCAAGTGTATTTTGCTGTACAAGCCAACAGATGGCCAGCCCACAGTTTGTATTTGTTTTGGTTCAATATTTGCGTCCCTGTTGCTTGCTACAATGCAATCACATCAACAGACTTATTCAAACCAACTCCACTGTGTGATTATGAGGCTGCCCCCTAGAAATAGGAGGAGGAAGAGGTTGTAATTAGACCAGAATTATACAAAGCAATAAACAGATTTTCCCAAATGAACAGACAAGAAAAGATGTCAGTGAATGAGAAAAATATCTCATTCTCGCCCTCTGTTCCTCCCTATCTGCACCGATACTGAAGGCGACAGTCTAATTTCGGAGCCGTGACACGAAATCAGTGCTGGGGGGGTGAGGTGGAGGAAGTGGTGGAGAGGTGTTAAAATAGGTGAAGATAAGATGGAGTGCCAGACCAGATTGCATTACTATCGGTTGTTTATGGATCAGACACAGGCTGGTTGGGCCCTCTGGGATTGATTTTCTTCTGACTGGACAACATGCGTATAGAAAGATAATACGAAAACAAAGAGAAAAGAGAATCGAAAGACGGGTGAAGCTCCACCTTAACTCATAGCCAATCTGAGCAGAGCAATGTACGTTTTTCAATCTGTGACTTTGTGTGTTGTGTTTTTTACGTCTACCAAGGAGGTGATTTTTGCTCCCGTTAGTTTGCTTGCCTGTTAATTAGAAGGGCATCTCAAAAACCACCCAACAAATTTTCATGATATTTATGTAATTTTAGGCTATGTGACAAGGAACCATTGATCTAATTTTTTACAATTTTCTGTGAATGTGTAAAGGGGACCTCCAATTTTGATTTTTTACATTAAATATGTTTACAGGGCCTGGGGCTTATGTGAAAATAAAAAGCCTCAAATGTCACGTGAGACAGCATTGAATACCAGAAGACATGAGCTTATCAGACCTGTGTAGCCCCCTCCTCATCTCTGCTTGAGGCTGTGAGTGCTTGAATTGCATTGTGGGTAATGTAGGCACAAAGTTTTGACAAGTATGAATGTAGAGAACAGAAAAGATCTCTGGTTCTCCATCAATTTTGGTCCTTTTTCTTTTAATTGTCTGCCATAAGTCCAACAATTGTGCAATGTGCAATGCTAACTCAATGGCGTACTCTTTTAATTACTGATTAATTAATTAACCTATGTGGCCATTTCTAATAACTTCATAACTAAAATATTGTTAGTTATAGGCAGAACGCCCATATGTTGCTACAGTAACATCACAAATTCAAACTAGGGCTGCACAATATTGTGATTATTTTGCAATTTTGATGAGTCCTGATTTCAGTTGGAATAGTCATATTTGCATTTCATTTTCACTGAAAAAAAAAATTATGATGATGTGATTTTTCTCATGTACCAAACATGTTCCTTTACACGTGAAGAACATGATTTGTAGGCTGGGGCGTTACAACATCTCAATGTTAGAGATGTTATGATGCATTTTGCCTTCATCAAAAAAAAATTGCTATTTGAATATTGAACTTGGCCATATTGCGATTTTGATGATATATGGATTAATTGCTCAGCCCTAATTTAAACAGCCATAACTCTGTGACCATGAGTGTGACTCACTTGTTATATGGCACAATTCATCCTTGTAAAAAGCCTTCCCAGATAGGATTGAGGTATTCTCCAGAAATCATAATCACTATCGTCCAATCAGCATCATGTCTGTCACTGCATGTATTTTGATGCAGATTTACATCCAGATGTAGAAAAACCTTTTTTCCCCCCCCCTTTTCATTCCATCCAAAAATCCTTAAAATAACAGATCAAAAAGAATGGTGCAGCCATGGTGGAGTAATCACCTCTGAGTGCTTTCTATTTTCTGCCCATTTTGTGTCTGCGTGCGTGCGTGCGTGCGTGCGTGCGTGCGTGCGTGCGTGCGTGCGTGCGTGCGTGCGTGCGTGCGTGTATACTGTATGTGGGTCTTGTTTGTATGACACACTGAATCTTAGCACCCTTCACTCCAGTGGCTCTTGTGAAATATATTTAGAAGTCCTTTTTAGTGTTTAACCCCTAATGCTACAGCCTGCTCTCCATCATCAGCCTTGTTTGTTTTAGCCCAGTCCACCTGGCCCTCCTTTTCATTACTTCAATTAGTGTGATTAGGATCTAAAATTGCCTGTGTTGGCTTGATGATTGACAGCAATTGGCCACTTAGGGAGGAGACACACAAAGTGCTGCTCAGTGGCTTGTGTGGTGAAACGTGCATGTGTACAGTCTGTGTGTGAGTGTGTGTGTTTGTTTACCCTGATGGGAGTTGTGTGCTCACTGAAGATGAGAGTAATTCTTCAGGCAAACAATGTGAGACCACCACTAAAGAAAGTCCAGATATCTTGCGTTACGCACATGTGCAACGTGAATGTGCTTTGGGGAGTGGAAGAGACGTGTGTGTGTGTGTGTTTGTGTGTGAGATACTTTGCGTGTCTACACAAATACAAGACTTTGTAAACATTATGAACTATCATAGCCTGCCTGTATAGATAAGCTTTTGCTTTGAGATGGACATACAGTACAGTGTAGCATCCACAGACACTATGAATACTGTCCAATCTGAAACAAATTCACGACTATAATCATATGTGGACATGAAAACTTCTTCCTTCTCCACCCTTACAGCTTAACATGCTCTAAGCGTGTTGCAATCAGCATGCATCACATGCTCACTGATTGTGTGAAAGCGTGACAGACAGGCAATCACTACTCAGTCATGGCACGTTTCGTTCAGCCCAGTGGGAGTTGGGGAATGCGGCTCGTTTGGCAGAGGCACATTCAACGGTCGGGCGTAATTTAGAGGACTGGCTGGTCTTCATGTCTCTTCTCATTACGGCCCTCGTGGTCTACACGGCCCTAAGTAGCGGCCGCTGGAGCAGCTCTTCAGTATCTGTCTTCGCACCATCTTTGTGGCATGTGAGATGGTGGAGTGAGGCATTATGGTTATAGCACATCAGTGCCAAGTATGGCCGTTCATCATAAGGCGCTGATAGCCAGAACCGCAGAGGTCCATGACAGAAGATTAATCTGCCTCTGAAACAGACAGCCATAAGTCTCTCCTCCTCCTCCCGCTCCTCCTCTGCAAGTTCAACACATGTGATTATCATTCACTCCCTTTTTCTTCATCCTTCTCTCCTCCATCTTTCTCTATCTCACACTCCTGTCTTTCTATTTTTTGCACTTTTCTTCCTCTCCGCACCTCATGTTCCATTCATCTCGGCTGTCTTGAGCTTTCCACCCACTCGTTTTCTTTGTGTATCATTTTGATTTTATTGTTTGGGTGTGTGTCCTTTAGTCCAAATTAATCTGTCTCTCAAATGGATAGCAGTGATTCCTCCTCCCTCAAGATGTACTAGTTATTCTTTAAACTGAATCCTATGTCCATGTTTCTTGCTTTACAAATTGTAAAAACTGTAATAATAACTCTGGATAATGTGAATGGGGTGACTTGTACTGAATAACTCACAGATGATGATCACCTAAACTGGCAGTTCCCCTGAGCTCATGGAGAATTTTAGCATCTTCAAGCTCATTGCTTTGGTTTTATGTCCCATAACTTTATTGTTTTGGTTCAATCTCACCATGCTCATCAGCGACCACAGCAAGCAGCTGTTTTCAGAAACAAACTTCTAAAATGCCACGTTACACTACCTACAAGCACCAAATGACACAGACAAAGTTAGCAAGTAGGTGGTGAACATACTGGAGCATTTACCAGGTAAAGTCAGATATTACTGGACTCATGACTGGAAAGCTATTGCTGCTTAGTGTCTGCTGGTTGTTTCATAGGAAATTGTTTGCCAACAGGTCTGCCATAGCAACTTTTTGGTGGTAATTTGTTAATGTTGTGTGTATAGCTTGTTCCAATTGGCCAAAAATAACAATTTTGTTGAACATTAATGTTTTTTTCCCATAATCCATATTTAGCCTTTTGGAAGGAGACTCTCTTTTTTTTGCCTTCACTGTTTCTTGTTCTCACATTCCACTCCACATGTATGTCTCTTCCAACCAGGATGTCTATGAAAAGTTCAAAGGGAGGTCAAGACAGTAGACCATCATCTGCTGCCAGGTCAGTAACAGAAAAATAAACATAGTCGATAAAATTGGTAGTGAACCTTTACATAAATTGATAAAGTTGTAACAAAAAGCTCAGTCAAGAGTTGGTGAAGATGTGTAAACACACATTATATCAGTCTAAATCACAATTTTGGGCTGCAACATAATCAATAGATCCATCTCACATTTATTTTCTTGTGCAATTGGAAGTGGGAAATTTATAAGGAGAACGACAGACTCACTAGAGATGATGTACCGGCTTTGGAAAGATGATTTTTACCATTTTACATAGTCTCTGGGTAATATAGTCCCTAAACCTTTAGACAACAAACAATTTTCTCCCATTGCCACTGCTGTCTATCAGCAGTCTGAGTCCACGCAAACCTCCTCCACAGGATGTTCTATCTAAATGACAATCCACACAGTGGATCAATGTTGTTGATTTATATTGTTGGTTATAAGGAAAAAGAGATGTATTCATTTTGATTACAAGACATTCAATGCACTTTAAACTGATTAATTCTTCATTTTCTCCTAGCATGTCTCCACGAGGAGGGAGGGGTGCAGCAGCTGGCAGATCGCCTGCTACTGGGAGATTCAAAAACAAGGCCCTTCAGCTCAGCCTCTCCAAGAAATTCTGGTTATTATCATTCTCTGTTTCTAATCAACATTGATTAGAACAAGGGGAGTGGGTTGTGTAGATCTGTGCACCCAATTAGTGTCATCGATTGGTACATCAGTGGCAAAACAAGCCTTCAGAATTTCAAAATTGTCCTTAGAAAAAACATTTCCTTCCCTCCTTTTTTTTGGTGGCTAATGTAACCACTGATGTCAGCTCATTGGTCTGCTGACATTACACTCAAGCTGAGCAATTATTTCAAGGGAAGCTAGATGGAGTAACACCTTTCTAAGAATATCACCCAAAATGCAATTAAGTGTGTTTGTTAAAGTATGTTAGGAGGGGAAATTATATGCCTGGCTTTGATGATGACAGCTCTCAACACTTCACGCAAATGCACACTTCACAGCTCAAAGTCACAGTCCCCCAAAGGGAAGGGCTCTGCTGAAGAGGACGCTCGTCGGCGCAGTAAAAGGAGCCTCAGCAACAGCTCAATGGTGGCCGCTGCCTACATCTCCTACCTCAATAAACTCTTTGGCCAGGTCAGTTCATACATACATACCTTAGGTGTCATTGCCATTTGTTGGTTACACCAAAAGAGGAGAGAGTTGCAGTTTCAAGCTTTTGGTTTTATAAAAACCTACTCTCTCCACAGCAATGGAGAATGGTCTGGTTACACCAACTATCATCTTGCTATAGAGGAAAAACTCTCTGGCTTATTTGCATTTCTTTAAAGTAATTATAATTGTCTTGGGCGGCGCTGAGCCCTGGATGCAGCTACTGCTACTGCAGTGCCACTGCAAAATAGTGTTTGGTGGAACATTTGCATGTAGGCAAGTGAGTACTGTTAAAATGGGAATTTTTCACACACACACACACACACACACACACACACACACACACACACACACACACACACACACACACACCATAGAAAATTTCCACTACTACCAGGTGAATGTAAAAACAAACTAATCACATCACTTTGCACAGTGAAGCCCAAATATCAGCTGCTTTGTTGACTACATTAATTGCATCTGGGATAAACAGGTCCTTGTAGATCTTTTTCTTTGCCATGGGTGTCCTATAGCATCACCCTAAGAAATTCAAAATAAGGATGGGGGGTGTGTTTGTCATTGATAATTGTCAGAGTTTCCTGTGCACAGCTGTGCTGTAGAGGTTATATAATGGCTTTTGTTGGCATCTTCCCTGCTGTCTTAATCATGGTCAGCTTGTTTTTATGCGCTACAGTCAAGTACCCATACCTGACAGAGATTTTGAAAACATGGATGCTCTCTATCAGGCTGACATACACTTTTTTACAAAATGTCAAGAGTGACCCCTTCAGTTTCCTAATTAAAACAGTCTCGGACTGGCTTTCTTAGATATGAAATCAACATTGTCTGTGTGTCATCTATGCATGTTTCCAGATTTCCCAGACTTAAAACAGTTGACAGTTTCCATGGTTTGGTCACACAGTATCAGTGATGAGGATGGATCTGCTTGGTTTAAAATAACTTCTTTTGTTTTTCCAACATTAATCAACAATGAGCTAGGCCTACACAACTGTTCTGGCTTGGAAACCTGCGCAAAATAATCAAAAATCATAATATTTATAAAAAGGACCCATTAAAGCCATGACATCAGCATAATTAAATAGCTTAAAATTGCTGTTGTATGTTGTCTATATATACTGACAGACGTAACTGCATCTATGAGGCAATGACACCAATATAGAATATAACCGTTATTGTGAAATGATCTATTATATATATATATTATTTCAAAATATAATTTTTTCCAAAGTGTTTCTATGTCACAATGCCATCTTTTCCCCAAAGATTATTCTATTTCATAATGCCACTTTTCATCATGTCTTTGTTTGTCAATCAAGAAATACAGGGCAGAGCCAGTTATGTGATTGGCTCTCAGTTCCTTCAGACTAAAGCAACAGCCAGCCAGTAATAGAAACTGCCAAAACAAACTTCTACGGTGAAATAAAAATGATTATTATGATTGTCAAACAAATTAAATGAAAACATTTCATAATAATGAGTGAGTTTTAAATGTTTATTCAATTATTTCACAATTTCATGGTCACTGAATATATTTGGTCTATACATATTTATGTGATTATTTATTAGGTCTATTTATTTACTTAATTTTGTACATTTAGATCTCCATGAGCAGGTTAGAGACTGGCAAACACAGGTTGATAAAGTGGAGGTTTGCAGACTCACAGTAACAGCTGAGATCACATCACATCGACTTACAGTTACACAGAATCGAGTTGGAAAATGGATCCATTTGTTCAGCAGATTCTAAGTGGTAACTATCGATTGGAAATATAAAGACTGATTGTAGCTGTGGTAACTGGTTGTGCAGTGAACCATGAGTATCCAAAAATGAATGCACTGTTTGCGAACGAGTAATTGCTGACGTATAACACGTCACAAACCGCAGAAAGTCAATATCATTACCCACCTCTTTTCATTCAACATGAAACCCTCTGATCACGACTGTGGACTGTTACCTCATCCTCTAAATCTAAAAAGGCATCCTTTTAAAGAAATCACTCCAATAATTCCACTTGAGAAAACGCTGCCTTCCACTAATGCACTGCTTGGCTGAAGTTAAGCATTGGCTCTGTTCATGCCTGATACCACGATCCCAGATTCCTGTAGGGCATCAGAGTATTTGGGACAATGACAACAGGAACTGAGCCAATAAATGATCCATCTCAGTGGCACCCTCCTTATTTCTGTTTAAATCATTGGCTGAGTTATATATCAAGTACCACAACAGTATATGTTTAACTATAGTTAAACTATAGTTATGAGTTTTATGGCAACTATGTTCTGGATGTTAACGAGCCTGACCTGAAAACTGTGTTCTTTCAAGGACAGAACTCTGAATGACAAATACACAATTTAAAGGACTCCTATGTTCTTTTTAAATTAAAAGTCTAAAACTTCACATGTAGAGGGTCTCATTCTTTTTTACATAATAAATCTAAGTTTAATCAATACTTAAAATACCTAAAAAAAATACCTCAAATCTAAGAATGATATGATTAGACATTTCTAGTCGGCTGAAAGCCAAACAGCTGATGAATGAGCCAGTGACTGAAGCATGAGGGAATGAATTTAGTCTTCTGTTATCCAACGCAATGGGCCTTTATGGCACATCAAAGCCCAGGAAAATGTGTTTTACTACTCCAACAAAAGTATGTATTGCCTTGGCTACAATGTAAATTTATAATCTAGTTTTTGGATTTTACAGACACGTATTGTATCTTTACACATTAATCTATATACATACAGTATATTGCATGTATGTACAATATACGTAACATACATATTTTAAGTAATTATTCCATAAAACTATGATTCCTAATATGGGGGGAGGGGGGGGGGGGGGGGGGGGTAGATATGTATGATGGTGATAATGGAATCTCATTAGTTAGATCAAGGGCCACTTGTTTCAGTTATTGTTGTATATTTCTTTCACTTTGTAGTGGTCCTTATATATTATCATATATCCTTATTAACATTATTATTATCATTACTATTATTATTATTGTGCTGAGACCCTGTTACAAAGCAGAGCCAATGACTTTTCCATAAATGCCTTCATCACAGGGATTTACTGTAAAAGATAACAGAGAAATCTGCGCCAAAGGCTGTTGTGTGCCCATGAACCTTTTAATGATGTTTCATAACTAGATTTCTTAAGACCTAATGGGACCATTTCATTGTTTTAAAGCAATTTATGGAAAATGAAAACCATTTCACAATGACCTTGGGCTACTATGGACTCCTCTTCCACATCCCTCTCTGAGTTACTACCTCACCTGCCATGACTGATCTGCCTTGTTTTACTGTGACAGTCCTTAGTTTGAATTTACTAGTAGCCAGGTAGAGAGGTCTGCATCATTTCCACAGGACAGAGGACACGCTCTTTTGGTTTCTTCCTTGACACTTAGGCAGGGAGACCATCCATCCTGCAGCATTCCTAATCCCTGCCTCAACACACAAGTATTAATAACCCCCTTAGCAAGGTTCACTGTCAGCACTCATTAGATCCGACTCGAACTGGGAGAGACAAATAGCTAAAGAAGGACAACTGATGCATTTACATGTCGGACAGAGCCACAGTGGAAGACTGTGGATGCATAGCAAAATGGACTGTAACCATCAGTGAGTACTTACTATGTGCATTCAGTACTTTAACTGTATGACATAATGCATTTGTGTGAAGTAACCACATACTTCTCATATGTGTTCATGCATCATGCTTACAAAGCAGTAGGCTGCTCAATGGGCCATGTGAAGGCAAGCAGAATGAAATTAACTGTTAATGGGCTCATTCTGACAGATGAATTGAGAGTCTGCATGGCATGCTGTCTAATCCTTTCTGGATGAAAAAAAAAAAATCCAATTAATGTGTTGACCTTACCATCTAAATATGCCCTTGTAGGATGGAGGATCCTGTGCAGGGTAAACAGCGGTGCTGCACTCTGGGCAACAGAGTTGTTTTTCATGCAGCAGCATCAAAAATCATATTACATGATTTAAAAGGTTTATATAAATCATGAGTGTTTTAGTAATTCAGGAAAAGCACACATACAGTAAATAAACTTTTGATGCAATTACGTCTTGGCATCGCACTTCTGTATAGACTCTGTTGGCAATATTATACAGTGAAAAATCATTTGAACGCCTGCCATGTGGAGCAGCTTCCAAATAAACCATGGTGCTTCTTCTTTTCCTGCAGCTATTGTGCACTTGAACAGGATGACCTTGTATGATTTATGTATTAGCCACCCTGAGTGCCAACATGTATTAGGATGTATTAGGAGGAAAATATTGCACTTCTCTTTGCATTTCAGTTTCACTGCTGCTCTGATTTGCCTTTTTATCTCTCACTTTTTCAGCAATAAAAAGAACCGAAGGTTGAAAATTCATTTTGCTTAATAAAAGTAGCAATAAAGTAATGGAAACAGACACTTGATTAAAAGCATAGGTCCCACATAAGAATGTAAAAGTGCAAAAGTAAGGCAAGCATTAAATAGACTTTAAGATCAAAGGAAAACACTTATTCTTTCAGAATCTGAAGTGGATGCAGTCAAACTATTTTAACAGCCAAGGTTGTCCATCTTCTTTACATGCTATACTCCAACAGTGCCGCATATTTTGGGTGCTCTGTTGTAAGTTTTTAATGTAAAACCACAAAACATTAATAGATAGCAATCAGACAAATGTGATGAGGTGAAAAGTGCAAAGTGTTCCTCTGACATACACTGAAAGAAAGGTAAAGTCTAACACACTAGAAATATGCCAGTACCAGAGGTAGATACAATTGGTTTCTTCCACCTACTAGTGGTTCTTATTCTCAGTTTGAATACTTTCCTTTCTGCATGACAGTGAGGAAAAACAAGCCCAAAACAAAGTTGTGCACATTTGTGCAAGCAATATTCAGAGCTTTTATATGCCTGTATGTCAGTCTTGTTTCTTTGAACTTATAGATATTCTCAGGCTTGTGATATCTTTGTGTTAAGCGATATTTCCATATGTAAGATTCAGTTGCTCTAAACCAAGACGACGGAGTTTGCATGTTTCTTGCTTTCCCTGTGGATGTCATAATGGGTTCTGTAGAAGACCTGCACATCGTTACTAAACCCTAGAGTCAGGATGCTGTAGGCACGAGCACGATTTAAATGAATGAAACAGCAGGCATCTTGCTAAAGACACATTGTCAAATTGCCTTTAAAAGGATGATTAATTTCATTTCAGGATGATATTTCAATATCATATGCTTTACATATGCAAATTTAAGTCTGTATATGTTTACAAATATGCTAATTGGAACATAATTTCAAGGACTGAGGCATGCGATGTGTGTCATTACATTTTTTGCTAAAATGTAGGAGTACATTCATGGCCAACATACTATATGATAGATTTATGTGAACTTCCCAGACCTCAAAGCTCATCTTTTTAAAACTAACATTTCAAGTGCATTTCTTGGCATTTGTACAGTAGTTGTGACAGACGGCCAAATTATAGTGTGTTTTTCGTAAAATTGTCCAACTGCAACCAATGGAATATATTAACATATTACTATTTTGTGCGCTTAGCACACCTAAATTTTACTGCCATCCATTATGCTAAACGGCAATGTGGAGATTTTGTTCCTAGCTTCTAGCTCTGCCTCGACTTCCCTGAAAATGCATGAAAAGATGAGGGAAAGAGAGAGAAAGAGAGCGAGAGATCACCCTGAGCAAATGTCAAAATAAGGCAGGGAATACTGAATGTTCCACACACAAGGCTATATGCAAATAATATGTCTTGCGTCTGTTCAGGCAAGTGTATATGTGCACATATCTGTGTCTTAGTTTACATGTATCTATTCCTTGCGACAATGCAAGGTTTATGAAACTCACCGTCACATGGTTGTGCGTGGGTGTGTATGCACATACAGACTGAGCTTATGCAGTGTCTCCCTCAGAAAGCTGCAGATGTAGAGTGTGTGTGTGTGTGTGTGTGTGTGTGTGTGTGTGTGTGTGTGTGTGTGTGTGTGTGTGCACATGTTGCAAATTAGAAAGACATGTCGCAGGGTGAAATCCCATTAGAGTTTACTGTCAGCATGCACCAGTGTTGACATGATATGCATGTTATTCTAATTTGCTAGTCAAAAACAGATTATCACTGAGGTATTTCTCAGGAGAATACGCTGTTTTAAAGCCACCCTGATTTTACATTCCGTCCTTCAATGCTGTCTTGTGATTATTTCAACTGTCTTTCTCTTCTGTGCTCTGCAGGAGAGAGAGCTGATGCCCGAGGAGTTAGATGGTAAGATGCTGTGAGTGTAATTATGATGCAAACACATGATAAATGACTAGTGAATTCCACAGCTTCATCAATCGCACTGATATTTCCTCCTGTTCAGCTTCCTCCTAGATTGAATCTTTCTCAGATTTGCTGTGAAATGTTGTTTGCCAATGACTCAGAGCTACAAAAATCAATTAAAACAACATAACTTGCTGTTCTTAAGAGCTGGCTGTAGTTCTGTCTGCTGGATTCAACAACTAACTGATAAGTTTACTTTGCTGAAAGAATTTCTCTCAGTGTCTGCGCACAGTGTGTATATGTGTTTCACTCTTGGGAAAAAATATTTTACCCTACTTAATGGTTTGTTGCAACTGCTGTGATTTGTGTGTCTGTCAGAGCTGCAGGTGGCCTTTAAGGAATTTGACTACGATGCGGATGGCTTCATCCATTATAAAGACATCGCAGACTGCATGAGGACCATGGGCTACATGCCTACAGAGATGGAGCTCATCGAGATCATCCAGCAAATCAAAATGAAATGTGTGTATTTATCTGTCTGGTAGTATGCGTGTGCATGGTTTTCATTTCTCTCTCAGTGGTTAAAGCATGTGTGCATGACTGATGGGTCTTTCTGAAGTGAGCAGGAGTGAATACGTGAGTAATGTGTCTGTCTGTGTTGCACAAACACGTGAGCTGGTATTTGTGCATGTTCTTTCCTAAGAGTCCGTGAGGAACTGATGTTTGTCTTTGAAGTTGGGGACATTTGAGACGTTTTAGCAGACTGATAAATGGCCCTCACACAGCAGGTGCAGGGGTGAACGAGTGTGAGTCTGCATGTAGAAGTGTGAATTTGGTTGAGACGTAACTTTCCTCTCTCCGCTCTTAATGAGTGTGTTTGTCTTTGCTTTCTTTCTGAATAATCAAGTATAGATCTGTGTGGGTCTAGTGTTTAAAGTTTAAAGTCAATCAGCAATGCATTTATTTCTGGATTTTTGCCATAAGGCTAGAGAACCTGTGTCTGTAACACCTACATGGTGACAGAGCAAGGTCTGCAAATCTAAACAAACCTAGAAGTTTCTGCCAAAACTTTACTGTATCTTTACTTGGCACATGGGGCAAAGACACGTGGAGCACACTATAAGTGTGATGTTTTGAAATATCCTGATTCATAATCTTGGTGATACTTGCTATGGCTCAGTAGGTAAAGTGGCTCATCCACTAATCACTAGGTTCGATCCCTAGCTCTTACTGACTACAGGTTGAAGTGTCCATGGGCAAGACACTGAACCCTAAATTGCTCCCAATGGTCTGGCCCGCACCTTGCATGGCTCGCTGTCACCGTTGTTGTGCTGCTGGACATGTTGTATGGCAGACTGCAGTCTAATTAAGCGAGTTAGCTTGATTTGCGACTGCCTCTGCCATTGCATCTTGGCATTGCCTGATTCCGCCCAGCCAGCATAGGCTCACCCTCCAGTCACTCAAAGCGACATGTCCTCAATTATGTATAACTTTAAGCTTTAATCAAATTTAAACGAGTAGTTGTATAAAAATTTACCCCAAGCCTCAAGTGGCAATTAAAAGAACTGCAGTTTTTGGCACTTCCGTGTTGGCTTCATTTTTCAGCCGCGGAGGGAGTCCTTCGTCTTCAATACTGCAACTTATACGATTTATAACATTAATTATTTATTTATTGTCTTCTTCTATATTTGTATGTGTCTGCTATTAAAAATATACTGAACTCAATCAGTTTATACATATGAGTGTAAGCTAGCATTGAGCCCACAGGACAATAACACTGATAATGAGAAAAATATTGGACTTTAGGTCCACAGTGTAATTGTTTAGCCTGAAAACTCTTACATCACACTGGGTACAGTAAGTCAGTGTTTCTCAGCTGTGATCCACAGGGACCGCAGTGCAGCTGGTTTCTGTCCTAGCAGCTAGTTAATTAGATTCACTTGGTGTCTCATGTGTAAATAATCTTCTGATTAGATGGTTACAATGACAACAGCAACAATCTTGAAAACCAGGACTGAAAGTCAGTGCTGTATTAAACACACAAAGACTTCCCTCAAATGTCCACATCAAAATGTGACACAATGTTGGTCACAAACTTATGCAGCACAAGCAATCACTGCTCAAGCCTCAAAGCCTTATTTTAAATTCCTGTCAAGTTGCTAAGAATTCCACAAACAACAAATACATAATGCTGAATTAGACGGAAATTAATACAATTAATTGTGTATACAATTACTCATATTTCATTGTGACTTCACCAATTAATGTAATGTTGCAGTCATAGAAATGTTGTTTGTAAGTTTTATACTCTATAACTTAGATGAACAGCTGGAACAAGCAGACACACAAATTGTGATGCTTCAAACAATGTAGAAAACAGTACATCAGGGCTTTGGTGGTTGTGACGACAATTCAAATTTTATGCTATTTCTTATACTGCGAGATATGAATTATTCATCTGTTCACTGATGCTTTAATAAGACCAATAAGGTATCATGGGCTTGAGATATTCCTAGCTTATTCTCTCTAGCATAATCCCTATAGAGCCATTAATACCATGAAATTCCATATTTTCTCTATAACTCGCATTGCACTATCAATTAAAACATTTTAATAATCTTCTAAGACTTTTGGGAGAATTTCTCTACTCCGTTGTAGACTGGCCCACACAAAGAAATTCTTTAAGGCGGTGTAAGGAATCCCCGCAGACTGTTACTCCGCAAGGGTAAAGCCAGTCAGCCAAAAAATATACCTTACCTTGAGGCAAGTATGAAACTCCTTAGAATTAATTGCCAGAAGTAGTGTTTTATTTCAGAATCCATGCACTACTGTTGTAACTGGTAGATGACAGTCTGAGCCATTAGTTTCATGATACAGCACCATTAAGAGTGCTTTCCATGCAAGAGAAGTTCACCATAGTTTGATTCTCATTCTCGACAGTTCTGAGACTCAGAGCACTGATTACATTTTTGAACCACAAAATGACAGCATGGCTTTATAGAGTCGTGTTTCACATCCACCAAGGCCCAGATAATGAAAACAGACCCAGCCTATTGGTCTACACTATCAAATAAGCCTGTCTTTTGTCAAACTAATAACATGAGCCTTCCCAATTGTATCAGTCTGTTTTGATAATTACCATGGAGATCAAACAAAACAAAAGTGGTTCTAACTGGGTTGAAGGTAGCATAATGAGCATGTTGCTCCATGCACTGAGGACATTCACAAACTTTTCAGACAAGCATGGCATTAAGTCAAGAAAGGCAAGGTATACAGACATTGATACTAGCTTTAATTAAGTACTGCTCTCTCTATTTCTTCATCACGATATTTTAGTGGGAAGTATTGTACATTTTACTTCATACAATATTTGTTAAACTATGTTACAAGTTAAACTCCATGAGGAATGCCTGAAAAAATTTCTATGACCAAAACATTGTTTTTTCAATAGACTTTGCTCAAACATTGTGCTGAAATTCAGTATCCACTTATGCTGTACATGATCCTACCTAAAAGTATGTAATTTATCAATTTATAACTCAGAGTGGCCATTCTTCATAATGAGTACTTCCATTATGATACTTGAGTACATTTTACTGAAAATACATTTACTATAAATTTGTGACCTATAGGTTTTATTTACAAGAGGGCTCTGTTTTGTTTACGTCATGCACATGTAAGAGGATGCAAATGCATGCACATGCAATTCATAGTTTTCCACTTATTAACTGGGAATAGTAAAGACCCAAGAAATGCAACAATGCGCCAACTCAGATTTTAAACTTTTGAGAAATCATCTATAAAGTAAACAGATGAAAGGACACGGGGAAGCCCACAATACCACTGCACAGGTATCCTCCACTGCAGGTCCATTAAAAAGTGCTCTCTGATACACCTCTCGTAAAGTGAGCGCATATGTCATGCAGGGGGTCTTTCCCTGCCATAACATATGCCTGAGTGATGGCTTCGCACAACCAGACAACCATTGTGTTGTTTAGTCAGGGGCTTCCCTTAAGAATGCTCTCTGTGATGCACAAACAGCTGCTGGTTCTGTCTGATGGCTGCTGTGCGTGCCATGTAATGAGACAGTGAGTGCAGCAGACAGAGGCGATGAGACGCTTCCACCATCTCATTCCTGTGAGAAGGAAGAAAAAAACCCTCCAAGAAAATCACTCTGGATCTTAAGGAGGAGGTTAAAATTTTAGGCATGAACACAGGATTGGTCTGTGCTCCCATCATCTCGGATTACAAGTCAGGATGGGAAGAAACACAGTGTACATAAATTGCTTACTCTTTTAGCTGGGCTACAAGTGTTTAAAGGACAGAAACTTGAGAGAGATTTCTGTTATTGGCTCAAATGGAGGCTCTCCCAAAGCATGTAAAACCATGGGTAAATACCACTGCAAGTCACAGGCTACTGTCTTCTGATTCCTTTCAGTGGGTGCGCAAAGACAGATTTCTCTCCAAAATCCTCATGGCGGGATGAGTTGGCACCAGCATAAGTTTTGACCATAGAAACAGTCAGATTTCTGTGTACTAGTAGCTGGAGGGAAGTTAGTATATGAAATAAGGGGCATGATGTGGGATCTGTGCCCCTCTGCAGACACCAGCACTGAAAAGTGGACCATTTCGATGTGCAAGACGCTGTTGTGGATGGAGCACTTGTGCTAAGTGGGCTGGGACACAGCGACAGCAGGGGCTGAGGGGTGTCTCAGCCTAGGGCAGCAGTCCATGTGGTTCCGCCAGGAGGCCTGGGAATGCTAAGACCACTTTGCAGCATGGCTCCTCGATGTGTGATCCTGATCCTGCACTGTGCCACCACTGTGGCTGACAAGAGAGCCAGAATCGCTGCTGTGGCCTTTCCAATCTCGTCAGCTCAGAAGGGAAAGCCCTGGACTAAAGGAGGGAGGATGAAGGAGAGAGACAAGGAGAACAGCATGATGTTGATGGCCACTGCTGTCTGACCAGCACACCGGTGGGAGCGGTCGGTGGGGCAGGTGATGACCTGGTCACAGGGAGACTGCGGAATCGGTTGTTTTTTGTTGAAGAACATTGCTTTCGGCAGCGAGATGGAAATCAGGCTAGGTGAGATGGCAGGAAAATGGGTTTCTCTATATTTCTCTGCACCCTGGTGAGGGGATCATAGTGGGACGAGAAGCTGCCTCTGTCAGATATGGACAAAGAGCTGGGAAACACAGCCACACAGGGAGACATCTGCTCCCCTGTTTGCTGCGGTAGGTGTCATTAGGGGCAGGTGCAGGCCACTCCTGTGGTAGCAGGATATTCTCCTGTTCAGCTGCTCTCCTAATGATCTCCAGGAGACAGGGACAACATCCTCCTCTGCCAGAATCAGGAGGGGAGCGGAGTCAGAGGACCCTTGCCCTGCACCTTCTTGACGGTGAAGCTATCATGCTTCACCCAGCTGTCATCGTCATCATCTTCTTCCTCCTGAAGTGCCACAAAGGCATCTACTTGCTGCTGTTTCTCCACCACTGGCAAATGGGCACAATGACATGCATGTGACTTAGGAAGTAAGGGCTTGTTACGGGCCGAGTCATGATTTACAGGGAGCATGGAGGTCGAACCCTATGATATAACCAGCATGGAACAAGGGGCAAATACGGACACCAGTGGGGGAACACTGGGTTGACATAACTTCTCTCTTCACAGATAACTGCATAAGCACGCTGAACAAAAAAGGGGAGCAGAGCTCTCTCACACAAGTGTTATATACTGTGGATGTGGACGTGATTGTGGACCAGTGCTTGGCACAGAGCGCTAAAGAAGATCTTTCCCACTGCCTATGCGCAAGAGATAAACCCTATAGCAACAGCTCTTAGAGGGTGAAGATGATACAAAATAAATCCAACAGAGCATCATTATAATTTATTTGGCGTCATAATTCTGTCTACTGAATGACAGAGCTTTTTTTCCCTGAACACAGCTGCCTGCTGTGGCCGAAAACAACACTTATAATGGTGACAGTGAATGAAAATGGTCAAGCTGAAACTCACACAAGGCTCTATAAGGCATGGGAAGCTGCAGATTCAGGTAATAATTCTCTGTAGGTTCATCACCACGAGTGACAATTGTCACACAGTCAGCTAGTTTATGTATAGGATCTGAATACTTCTTCCACCAGTGCCACTACGTAGATAATTACACATGCTGTATTTGCCCCGATCCTCTGACACCTTAATGCTTAATGCATGAATCCATATGTGTAGCATATACACTCAAGGAGGCACAGCACTTATTACTCTGTAGTCAATCTGTGCATATGCAAATCTGCATCCATGTGTGTCTTTCTGCAGGGGGTGGTCACGTAGACTTTGATGATTTCTGTGAGCTAATGGGGCCAAGGATGCTGGCTGAGACGGCTCATATGGTTGGGCTGAAGGAACTTCGCTGTGCCTTCAAACAGGTAAGTACAGTACTTTGAACAGGACCTTTCCTTAGAGAATACCAAGAGTGTATGGCTCTTACTTGAAAAAAATCTGAGGGAAGAGGGCTCGCTGAATATCATGCATAAGAAAGATGTTTAAGAGGAAAAGAAAATATTCATATTTTGAGAAGGTTTTTTTATAGACTGTTCCTGCCATCCAAAGAGCCAACATTTACACTATATTCTGTATATTCTGTATTCTGTCTTCTTCTGTCTCACCTCTTCATTTGTGCTCAATAGCCATGCACACTTTATTTGAAATTTTATGGTGCCTTACTGGTCTGGAAGAAAGATCTATTGAGTTACTCTCTTTGACGTCAGTACAGAGGCAGGTACACAAACAGTGATTTGATTGTCCCCATGAGCCAAGCCCCAGTGAGCTGTAGTCTCTAACCAGGCAAAACAAATGTGGTGATGATGTTATTTATAAGCACAGCTTCACACACACCTGGGTTCAACCATTTAACACATTACAGCATGATAGGTTTTCAATAGTTACTGCAAAACAAGCAACACTGATGAAGTGTTCTTAATGATTAAAACTGAAAACATATTGGAGTGTACAATAATTTATAAGTTTAGCCTAATGCAATTAGTTTGACTACTTTTTGGCTCCTATGAAGAGCACGGGGGGGGGGCTGCGGGGGGGGGGGGTGTAAGAGGTGTATAAGAGATGTTATTTGTGTCATTGAAGTGATGGCAAATCAATATTTAAATTCTGTACTTTACTAGTTCTGGTATTTTTTAAAGTGCTTTCTACATGGAAATTCTACACAGTGTACAGTTGTGCACCTTGAAACATAGTGAGCTCTGAAGCTAATTCTGTCAGTTAAATAACCCAACATTGACTAATCCTGAACTGCACTTGTATAGGCAAGATATCAAAAGAATCGTTCACCTGCATTAAATGGTTTTAAATATGCGTCAACATCAGGTCCTGAGTAATGCTGTCAAAGGCCAGAAATTTACATATTCTGATGTTTGAATCTTTGTGAAGAGTGATGAATTACCTCTCCATTCTACTATGGCTGAATCGAAACCTCTCAGAGCATAGTGTACTTTTTGAACAAATGAAAATACAGTTTTAACTCATCCTAGATCAGCCTTATAGTCACTTCAAAATTGATCCTCACTTGAGCACTAACATCTCATGATTCAGCATCTATTTGAAGACTCAACCGAGACTTCCAGGGACCTTGTGCAGCCATGTTACTATAGGGAAATCGGTTTTGATCATAACCAAAGGCTACTCTGTGTTTGAATAGCTCTGGTATGGCATGTTCTATAAGCTTTTTTGTCTGGTTTAATCTAATTCTCTTGATACCTTTCCCTCCCTCTATTTCTGTCTTTCCCCTCCATCATCATATATTCAATGTGTCCACTCCATATTAGCCCAGAGACATGTATTGTCCTCGTGTCACCAATAATTTTCTTTACCTTTACATGTTTGTGTCCACAACTTCTTGTTCTCTACTAACCCTACATGCTGTAGTTTGACTGTGATGGCGATGGAAAGATCACGTTTGATGAGCTGAAGGAGGGCATGAAGACCCTCCTGGGGGAGAAGCTGAAGAAAGGCGAGCTGGAGGAGATCCTCGGCGACATTGACCTCAACAAAGATGGCAACATTGACTTTGATGGTAAGCCATTAGGGACTTGGGGGAAGAAATGTGTGGGAGGTAAGTGGATAGACTCCAGGAAAGGTGTGGGGCAGTAACGCAATTTAGGAAAAAAAAAAAACTATGAGCCACTGAGAAAACACTGAGACAGTGGGCTGGGTTCTGTACATTTGTGATTTTCAACCAATCAAAGTTGCCAGAGGGTATGCAGAAAGACCTACACTAAAACCTAAACCTATCAACTAAAAATATAAATTGCAATTTTATTTAAATAATATCCACATACTTGTGTTAAAGGAAAAAAAATAAACAACCAAATAGGAACTTTTGATCTATAGTAACTCAAAAATATTAAGTGAGTTGTCCTGAGTTGTCACCAAATAAAAAGTAGCCTCATAGTTAGCTAAAAGTAATATTGAAATAGGTAATACAGGTAGATAAACAGATGAAATATGTAATGTTGTCTATAAAGTTAAAATAACTAATTGAAATGAAATGATAAACAGTTGAAACCAAGAAAAAAAAAAAGTTATGAGTTATGGTGGCAGCTTAATGAATGGTTGCAACATCAAACTTTCCGCTGGGTGTAGGCCAAAGTATGGACACTACTATGTGAAGTATTGTTTTGATTATCAGTGCTACTGTGAATACCAAAACACCAAAAACAACATCAACACCAAAAACCTTGATCTATCACGTTGTATCACACCCTGAGCACAAAAACACTTAGTAGTGTTGCATTTGCTGCTGTTGTTGTGTGAAAACAGTGATGACCTCTTCAGTTCAGAGAATTCACAAAATGAACATTCGTTATTTAACATTAAACGACTCCCACCCCCAGCCCCACAAGCATATCCTAGCATATAAATATTGACATCTTACCTGCGATGGCATTTCTACGAGTTTCTGGAAAGAGGCCTGCTGAAGCTGAGTATGCCGAATGGTAGGCAGGTAGTCGAGTCTTTGCTCCGCTCGTCTGTGGTGTCTCCGCTGCCTCACTTGGTGCCAAGCTAGCAGGTGTGTCCGCAGACTTTAGCCACGGTGTACAATCCAAAATAATTGAACACAGCTTCTCGGATTCTGCGGTGTCTCAGTCCGCTCAGGACAGCTCTCCATTTTCGTAGCAAACAACATAACTCTACTAGCTGCTTAGTTTCCTGATATGTCAGTAGGGCATGTCAGAGGTCAAGCTGACAGTGAAGTTTTAGAGCGTCCCTTGCCGGCTAACGTGTTGCGCTTCGGCGTGCCGAGGAAAAAAGTTGCAGCGGTGTACACTGGCCTCTTGTTCGTCGACTCAAACCAAACCGGCTGGTGGCGTCACTTGCGATTCAGCTTGTCGAGTCGCCAGCGGCTGGTCTTAGAACAGAAGCCACATCGTGTATTTCAAAAGCCAATCAGATCACAGCGATAACAGCTGATTATATCGGTTATTAACGGTCTTTAGCGCTGATTGACAGTAAAGTTCGAATTCGAACAGTTCTTTACAGTTCGAATATTAACTTTTCCCCCAGGGTCGTGACAGGCCTACTGTCTCGTGTTAAGACATCCATGTGATATAGAAAATAACAGAATGGTAAAAGAAATGCTATTTTGAAATTATTTTTGGTAGTTAAAATCTATTTACAAGTCGCCTATTGATGCATTCAAGTCTACATAGTACATTAGGTGCTTTTAACAATAAAAATAGTGATATTGCTATTGATATCGGCGATCATAGCCTAGGTATTGAATCAAAACTTAATTTTGTTGTTTTGCCCACTTCTATGTTTCGCTAAAACAAGTGTAGTCGTTCCAATACAAACTTGACCAACCAAAACATGGGTAATTTACTTGGATACAATTAATATTGTAAAAATATCAACTTAATTATAATGAATAGCATCTAGTACCATACAGTAACATCAAGTTTATTGGAACATGTAGGGTGTGGTGTCGATGAAGGGATACTTGAGCTCATCTGAAAGAGCTGTGACAAAAAAGGTTAGGAGGCGCTGGTGTACAGGAGGGAAGAGCGAACTAGAGGAAGGACAAAGCAGTAGGGGTCAGTGAATGGGTTTACGATGAAGGGGACAGAAGGAGAAAATTAGTAAAAAATGAGGCAAGGAAAGGGTTAGATGGGAAAGGAGAGATGGTTAAGTCAAGGTGGGTTGGTTGGAAGGGCCAATCCAATCTAATCAGTAGTGCATTAAGCCAATCAATACACAAGCCTGGAAACCTGTCACGTTACACACAAAGAACACACACCATTGGACAGCTCAAGGACTTTGCAGAAATTACATTACCATGTGTTACCTCACAAGCAAATAAACAATACAATGGGACACAATCACGCGCACACACACACGTAAGCACACATACATGTTGACGTGCACATATGCAAGCGCCATCTACACCACATGGATGTTAGTGTGATTATAGGCTGAAACACACAAAGGGCTCAGAGGTGTGATCCTTTTTGTCTCGTCTCAGCAGTTCAATCAGTTACAATTATTGGGAACATATGAATAGGCATGTCAGTCTTAGAAGGGATCAATAAGCAGTGCTTCTCATTCTCATCAATTAGCCCCTAGGGGAGCATTTGGATATATCTGTCCAGTTTAGCCACGTGCAGAATAGCCTACAAGGCACCTGGCCAACAGACATCCACAGACTACTGGAGCTGTGAAAACCTTCTAGTGGCAGGTCAGACGACTGAGACAGGATTGGTGTTTTGCTCGGTTTATTTCTTTTTATAGAAAATGGTTAGAGGAGTACCTCAAGGGGATAATGTTAATGGGTTAATCTGGAATTAAGCTTTAGTACTCGGTGAATCAATAGAATCACACCTACAATCAGAATTCTTTCAGAGCAAAGTGCTTCAGGAAGACAATGGGAAATGGAAGACATGATTGATAGGATGGATTTAGTGAAGCCTGCCTCAAGCTGTCTGCAGCTGGGTTTCATTGACAGCACACGTCAATAGCTGTCTTGATTGACAAGTGAATTCATGATAATGGATACAGCAAACTGGAACAAGTGGTAATCAAAGTGATTACTGGTTACAAGAAGAGATAAACACAGCCTAGAAACTGGCAGTTAGCATATTGGAGTTGTTAACCTTTTAAATCTAGGAGCGGGTTTAATCTCTGCCCAGAAAACCTGACAAAATAAAACTGGCATATTTAAATGTTCACCTTAAATGCTCCTGTATCCTTGTCCTCGTTTATTTTTCTTTGACTTATCACCCTATAACCACTTAAATTTTTCATTAACTTGGTGATAATGGAAACACGCCATGAGCTGTGTTAGTTTCCACTGCAATAATAATGATGTGGTTGTATCCCATGCTGTCCTTTATGATATCAGTGTCATTAGTCCTTATCAGTGGATCTGCAGCTGTCTCTGTCTCCCTCCACAGAGTTTGTTATGATGCTCTCTGCACGATGACCTCTGATGGAAGAAGATGGAGCAAACAACACTGGATTCATGAGCTGTGTACCAACTCGTGATGACTGTCTCCTTCCTGCTACTGTAATGCTTTTCCTGTTGCATTGTGTATTTGAAATCTCTGACTGTAAAAATTACACATAATGTAGTTGAAGAAGAAATCTGTTTATATTTTCATAATAAAAGTTGAGGTTGAGTAAGTGCAGAGGGTAAAGGGTGAGTTATGAAACACTAAAATGGAACAAGAATGCTGCACTGTTGCCTCCTTGTGGCTCAGACGTGTACAGACTGTAAAGCTTTAAAATGAAGCTACATTTGTTTTCCACACTCACTGGTATTTTAATCTTGGAGTCATGGGGAACTGTAGTGTATCTAAAATTATCCTGCATATAAATGGGTTAAGGGTTGTAGAAAATCTTTTCTCAATCAGCATCTTTAGTAATAGGGTCCTTAATGAACATGCTATTTTCTACCTGAATTGCAATAGTTAAGGTTCTTTTGAGAAGCTTCTGAAGCTGGTTTACAGTTTCGTTGTGTGAGCTTTAAAGGTGAGATGCTGATATACACGCACTGAGCACTTTATTAGGAGCACTACACTGACACTGAGTAGGGTCTCCCTTTGCTCTAAAAATAACCTCAATTCTTCATGGCATGAATTCCACAAGATGTTGGAAATGTTCCTTTCTGATTCTGCTCCATGTTGACATGATTGCATCACATATTGTTTTGCAGATTTGTCAGCTGCGTATTCATGCTGCCAATATCCTGTTCTACCACACCCCAAAGGTGTTCTACTAGATTCAGCTCCAGTGACTGGGGAGGCCTGAAGTACACTGCTCAGTCATGTTCATGAAACGAGTTTGAGACGACTTTTGCTTTGTGACATGGTACATTATCATGCTATCATACTCAAGCTGTGGTATTCAAACCATGAGTGGCTGAGATTAAGGGACTTATACTGTGCCAAGAAAACACACCCCACACCTGTTTATAACTATGAATAAGCAGGTGTTCTAATGAGTGTATCCTGTATTGCTCAGTAATGTCTTCTCATAAACAATTATCACTGAGGCAGAAGTTGAAAAAAGAGGTGCATTTTCTTTTATTGAAAATTGATAACTTAAAACATCTGAGCAAAAAGCAAAATCTGTCCAAAAAGCCTTTTTACAAATGATTTACACACAACAACTTTGACTTGAATTTTGTTTTTTTCAGATTTTCATACATACATTGTGAACACATCGTGCCTCGAACTAACTGAGAGGGGAAAAATACAATTAAAACATACTTCATACTATGGCAAAAAGGAATGGTAACCAAGCCAACACATTGTGTTATTCATATCACAATGCAAAATGGTGTAAGGCAAACACAGTCCCCTGACTGCAGCACTGCAGGTACTCTCTCTCCTCCAAGCAGACAGAGCAGCTTTGAATGAAGAATAATGCTAACCCATTGGTGGTATACATGCTGTTTTTGTCTTGTTTTGATTTGTCATAATATTAAAAGACCCCTTCAGAATATCTCATACAAACACATGGTCAGAATGTACAAATATATTTTATCTTATAAATTAATTCAGTTTAAGTTAATTAAATGGGAAGCTGAATCATTTGGTTTTGAGAAGAGACAAATAATACAAGAACAGAACCACCGAACTCTAAACACTTTCATTTCAAATCCTCACACTCCAGCAGGATCTCCAAAGGTCCATGACAAACAAAACTTTTGGAAGATAGGGCTTACTAACTGTGAGAGGAAGAAAAGCATTTAAAAAACATAGAACCATGATGAGACTTCAGTGCCATGGCTCTTCCTCCAAACTCATGTTAGAGGAGGCACACGACGGCTGATCTCTGCACGATTGTGGAAGAAACTCAAAGTGAAAAAGATGGAAGAAACACAGATTGTTTCGCCTTCAGCCAGTATTTAGAGGCAGCGATGGAAGTTGTGCAAGGTAAGCATGTGGGAGAAGAGATTACGTAAAAAATCTGATGCTTGGAAGAGATCGATGAACACTTTCATCATGGGTTGGTACACATACACCAGCCTTTAGTTGCATGTGGTTGCAGTTTGAAGTTTGAACTTCTGAATGGTTGCTCTGAACCACATTAAGTTATATCTTGCTATCACTTTTTGGACTTTCAGCATTTAGGATTTTGTCATTTCATGTCTTCTCCATATGAACATAAATCTTACAGGCAAAACACAAAACAAAAAAAAAAACCTTCCTTTACACTGGTCTCAACAGAGACACAACACAAACCATAGTATGCTCTCTTCACCTCAGCTCCATCAGTGCTATCTTTAAAGGAGGCACACTCAAAGGGGGTTCTTCAATGTACTACTCTCTGTTGTTGTCTTCAACATAATCACTAAATATTAACCAAGTGGAATAGTAACTGCTCTGCTAATTTCAACAAGATCCTTCAGGAAGTTCTTGTGAGAATGAACTACATTAAGAACAAGAGCAGATGAGAATAGTAGATGTCATATATGTCTTTTTGACAATCAGAAACAAATAGTGCACATCCTTGGAAGTATCCCTGAGGTGGTTTGGCCATATCTCTGGTTTCAGTGATCAACAGTTCAAGGATGTTTCAGCTTTGCTCTGCACTTGTGTAAGCTTGTTACTAACAGGAGTAAAATAAGATGTCTTTATAGCTGTAGAAATCAAGGTTTCAAGGATCAGATGGTTGTATAAACAAAAGTTGGTGAGATGTTGATACAAGGTTGCTTGAATGTTGTTCAATAGGCCAAAAGATTTTTCTGGTGGTGAGAAGAGGAAGCTCTAGTCGCTGGGGATGCTTTGTAGATATGTGAGGATGTGCTGGATCTTCACCAGGCGTTCTTTGAGGCTTGTCATGGAGAGGACAGAGAGCTGGTACCGAGGGTCGATAGGCAGGACAGCCAGCAGCCACCAGCAGCAAGCTGGACCATTGGGAGTTGCCTAGAAGAGAGGAGGAAAACCAAACCATAAGACTATTGCGTTCACTATTGCTTATCTTTCAAGATCCGATAATATCATCTCTGTGATAATCTTTGAGCTAAAGTAAGGATCAGGTTACTTGCCTAGAAGGTTTCTGAAAAGGACAATGTGGTAAAATAATTTTTAGGTGTGAAAATAGTGGTACATATCCATCTCACTTGAATTCAGTCTTTTGAGAAGAGGGATAAACTTCCGTTTTCATTACAAAATTTTTTTTGTAACTTTAAATTTTAAATAATTTCGTTTCAGAGACAGTGTTTTGCTTTCTCACAACTCCTCCCAAAAAAACAACTACTGTGTCAGCATTTGAACCTATATCTGAAAATTTTCTGTCATGTGTAGCGAATATCAAACAGCAAAGGATGAGTATCAGTAGTCTGCACTTTCAATGTATTGAATGAATCAAAACAATGCCAAGTACAACAATCGATACCTTCGTAGCTCCTGAGCAACTGCCATTCAGAGTTTTGTGTTACTATTCTTGTTCATGCAATTCATTTAACAGACAGAAGCCTCATTGCTGTCTCCTGTCTGCCCTCTTTTGCTGTAATTTCAGAGAAATCCATTCATCCCTGACATTGTTTCAAGCTAATCTGCTGACAAAAACTTTGAATGTGAATTTAAATGCACTTTGATTACGCATCAGGTAAGATGTGGCTAAATTAAGTTCTCACTTTTTATTCATGGCTTTTTAAATGTACTAGTACTATATACTCAGCCCTGCAACTGTGTAATTACTGTTAAATGATATGAATCAATCAACATGACCCTTTACAGTAATCTGCCAGAGGAATGCATGTCTGTGAGTTGCATAGCTGAAAAAATCCCTGTTTCTTGGAGATAGAGCCTGAGCCAGTTACAAAATGTGCTTAACACTTACAAGGATTTGAAGTGAATGATGTTTACTATGTCTGTGCTACATTTTACTTTAAGACAAATGCACTAGCCGTTAACCAGAGTAATGCTGTATTTCTCCCTGGAGAAAAAAATTTCAAAAATTACCTAACAGCATCAAACCTCAGGACTGTGTGCTTTGCTTTCTTAGTGCATGTGCACGTGGTAGAATTGGGGATTCTCCTCATGACACTCTTCTGACGCAACATGGCCGGTGGGATTAAGCATGAAGCACCCATAAAGCTCTTTAGCCTATATTGTCAATAGACTCCGCCCCATGGTTGTCCTTAGAGCAGAGCCGTAATCCCTTTCAGCGCTGCAGACTGCAGGCTGCAAGCTGGAGCCAGAGCTGAGCTCAGATAACAACTGTGTTCCGGTATTAAGACCTCCGTGGCAGGTGAATCCATGGTAATGTGGGTTTCCCAAAAAGACGAGTGTGTCATGAGATGATCCAATTTCAGGTTAAGAATATAGTGTCTAGCCAAGTCAAAGAGAGTAATGAAAGCTTTACAAACCCTGCAGTGTTTTGAAGAAAACCACTGCTGCCACAGAGCTCAGATGATACTGGTTCTGATAATAGTAACAGTCATATAATAAAGAGCAGTGTCCCTTTGTTTATCTACCTGGTTATTTAAAAAGTTGTGAAAACCACATGAACTGACAGCTGACAGTTAACCACATAACTTCTTGCTCTTAACAGACTATGCACCACCGTCTGCTTAGCTGCCAACTGACTGCCGCACAATATCTTTACAAATAGATGTGTTGGACAAACCACATTACATTGATTTCTGAATCAATATCACTAATGCTGTTTTTCATATTGGCTCCTACTCTGGGGACTCACCACAAGCTCTGCATTATATTCTTGCACATTATTCATCATACACAGTAGTACTAAAGTAATTGTAGTAGCAATGAACTAGTACAGCTGGGTGTCAGGACAAATTCAGAGGCATACAAAATGTATCTCATTTGCTTAACCAAGCTCAAATATCGGTGCAAATATTTGCCTGTATTAAATGACTCTGACTCAAGCATTTACACACCTACTACAGACTAATGCAGCAGTTACAATTCAACAACTTGTGACACTTGATATGAAATCAAGACTTTTACAGTGTTTCAGATATAGTCCTCTATATTTCTACAAGATGGCAGAAGAGAGACACTGTACTGGATGTTTACCTGGATGTCAGCTTCTTGTTCTGGCATGGGTCCAAAGTGCTGCAGGATCTGGTTGTGGAAGCGGATCTTGAGGTTCTGAAACCAGACACGGGCCTGCTCGTACACTGCATCATGCAGCTCTTGTAGTCTCTCTAGCTCATCACTGTCCTCCACCTAACAGGCAAGAATCAGTCATTTAAAACACCAGTCACTTTTACATGGTCTGAAAATAAAAATAAAACCAATCTAATGTGACACCCCATTCAAAACCTGAAGACTTAAAAGGCAGTTTCATTTTTAACTTTTAGATTTTGGGTGAAGAATGATTATAAAAGCACAATATACCATTGATAATATAATTGAAATGATAGTCATGGTGGTTCTTACCCTAGTATCCTCCAAGTGTTCGATGTCAGCAGTGCTGTAACCATCCTTCATTCCTCGGGACAGGACCCGGAAACGTTTTCCTCCGATGGTGTCCACTACTGATCGTCCGTCAGGGAGGAAATGGACGCTCCTGATGATCAGCATGCAGCCATAATCTGCAAACCTGCATTGATGGACATAATGGTTCATTTTGAGTTTTAGCAGATCCATCATAACCCATTAATTAATGTGTACAATGGAATCTAATTGTGATGAACGAGCAATTGACTGCCTGCTTGACAACAGTATTTCAAAGTGGATCTCATAACTGATGTTCTATAAGGAAACTCTTATCTGGATATGTAGATATGTCCGTTTTAATATATTGCAAACCATACAAATCTATACCAGGTTGCACTTGCATGCTTACCCTTTCTGGGGATCATTAATACACATCCCGAACTGCCGCGTGCCCGTGTCCATGCAGCGGCGAATCATGAGGCGGTAACGTGGCTCAAAGACATGCAGGGGGCAAGGCACGGTGGGGTAAGCCATGGTGCACACAAAGATAGGCACATTCTTCGTCAGACTGCACAGAGGGCGAGAAGTAGATAAGGAGTTTAGACACTTTGAACATCTTTGAATCTTTTGCATACAGAAAAATCTGATGATGAACACTGGAAAGAACCACACCAAAAAAAAGAAAAAAAAAGAAAATGCAAAAGAATGGAAAGACTGCTTACTCAGAAAGTTCTCTGGTTTCTTCTAGATGAGTTTTAGTCCTCTCTGCATACTCCTGACTCAAATACTGTTTGATCAGCATGTCCAAGACAGTTGTCACCACATACTTCCTACATGCTAGATACTGGAGAGGGCAGAAAGCAAGTTAACGATTAATACAGAAAGCAGGGAATACATATATTTTTGTCTCACACTTGAAAAGTTACAAAAGAAGGTTAAAATCCATATGCAACAAGACAAGACTGGTCTTTCACCTCTTTCAAACTCTCTTTACAGAGGGGACACTGGGGGGTATGGTCCAAGCACCGTTCCAGGCAGTTTTTACAGAAGGTGTGGCCGCAGGGTGTAGTCACAGGCTCATAAAACAACCTGTATTGATCACAGGAATTCAGCGATCAACTGGTTGTTTGTTCTGTCTTTTACAAGCATTCATTGTGAGCTGGTATGTAATATTTACAGTAAATGTGTGCATGAAGCTCGTAATGTGTCCTTACCTCATGCAGAGAGAGCACTCTAAGTCATTGGGGTCTAGCAGATCCTCAGGAACACTTCTGCAGGTTTTCGCTTTGGAAGCCAGCTGTTTTGAGCCTTTCGTAACACCTAAAGTCAAAGAAGGAAATGCATTTTAAAATTATTTATAATTATTATTATATTATAATAATTTTATCGACAAAAACATCATCTGTGACAAATATGATGCTGATTTGGTCCTTTAATAAGGCGTTAGGATATAAAATGTGCTCATCATTAACTTGGAGTCATAGTGTGGGGCATACACAGCAGAATGTCAGTGAGTGTCTACCTAACCCATTATACATTATTCCTGCAAAAAGTATTAAGTGTCCAATAAAGCCTGTGGTTATGCACCATTACAATGATTATATGTTTTGAGCTTTCATATAAGATATTATTATGACAACAGAAACAAACAGAATTTGATTTGAAATATAATACACTGGGAAGACCTAATAGCAGTACAATGAAAAGCTTGACAACTGACCTTGTTTTTTATGTTTACTACTTCCACTGTCCACGACACATGGCTCTGTGTCTGACACTGACAACTTCCTCTTCAGCAGGCTCCCCTTGTCTTGGTCCCCCAGCTGAGGAGCAGAGCAAACTCTCTTCAAACCCTCCTCACCACAACTGGAGCCATGCATCCGAAGCGAATGAGCTCGGCTCAGACCAGGCCGCTCAAGACTTTCCCAGCGTTTCTGGAAGATGACACAAGCCCAAGGGTAAGATGATGATGAAGGTCCCTTTAACGATGTGGCAAGAACTGCACTGAAACATTCCATTAATTACTATGTAATATCAGTATTATTATCCAGCGTGGTAATACCTCCTGGTTGTCCAGATGGTGATGTGCAGAGGCAGCTCGGACCTGGTGTTGGTGTTGTCTTTGGACTGGGCTCTGAGCTTGGGAATCGGCCACAAGGGTTTTGCTGCGCAAATGAGGCGATGTGTTCTGCGTTGTTTCCCTCAGGCCAACCTTGACATTCTTATCAGCCGGTGAGAGAAGGTCACACAGGATCTGTAAAAAGCACCTCAGTTTGTCAGCAAAGCAGTCCTGCTGAACCGGCATACTTCTCAAAATTCTGACTAAGAAACTGAATCTCCACAATGGAAAGGTGAATATGATGGCAGTCATTTGGTGCCAACATGGGTACTGTTGTCCATGTCCATATTTTACTTAAATAATCTTAAAACTAGGCCTCCCTGGTAGCTTAATGGATAAGCCGCATACCACATAACAACAACTCCTTTTCTTCTGAAAGAACATCTTGTAGCATTTAGCAGCCATGGTTACCATTGTTAAAACATTAAGTGCTCTAAAATGAGTTAAATGTGTTAAATCAATAAGTTTTCAAGTTCAAAACATACAGTGTGTGATGAGGGAACGACGGACTCTCTGTAATACAAAGGTGTTATTGACAAAAGATTAAACTACACAATACTGTAAATCCAATTCTATAACCATGACCAAAATCCAACTTGGTTATAAAACACATGGTGATGTGAGGTGAAAAGAGAGAGCAAACCTTGCACAATTTTGTGTTCTGTTCAAAATAGATATCAGGATGACCTCGATTTAACCTCAGTGCATATGAACCAGCAGCAGAGAAAACATCAACCTTTCTTTCCAGTCCACTTAAACCTTAATGGCCTGAACTTTGGCCTCTGAACTACAGATCATTCTAACCACATGTATAGCTTGTTCTGTAGTGAAACATCTAACGGACTCATTCATTCATCCTCACACAACTCTTTTTTTTTCTTCCTTGTACTTACATAGTTTACCTTTACCTTGCTGCTGATAGAACTCTTGTGAGGATCTGTTAGTAAACTGGCTAGGTGCAAAGTAAAGATTTTAGTGACATATTTGTTAAATTTTTTGTTTCAACATTTACTCTTTATACAGTTAAAATATAATTATATAAGAGCATTTAGAAGGTTTCATTTTACTTCAAAGATTCTTGTAAGTTTTTTTTCTATTTCTCACTGAGGACAACAAGAATGGATGCTGTCATATTCATTAATTAGCTGTTTTCATTGCTGTTTCATTTTCATTACATGGATACTGGGGAGTCCTTTGAGGCTGTAAGTGTGATTACAGGCTGCACAAACATGATTTGACATTCTACTGATGCACGCTGTCTGGCTCCCACACTTTTTTTTAGACTAATGTCTAGTCTGAGTAGTGTCTCCCTCAGGATCACAAGAATGAGGAATCCAGTCAAGATGCCAAAGCAACCAACAACCTTAAACAACGGGCACAATCAATTTCATACTTTTTTTACTAAAAGAAAACCAGAGCTGACTAATGTGATTATGTGCGCTTCTTATACAACGATGATTCAGAGATGATTACACAAAACTTCAGCAGCATTAGCAACGAGTTTTATCCTGAAATGGCAACAAATTGTCATGTTATTTTGAGAATGTATGTTGCACTGGATACATGAATCAACTTTGTGTTCCTTATGTAACTTATGATGCCATGGTCTGTCTATCAAGTGGTACTAATGTCATTACAGACAGAGTCACAGGACCGGATCCGCTAACAACTTATGCAATTCCATGACAGATGATCCCGATAGAAAAAATGGACAATGTTCAAGGCTGAGAATGTAGAAGTACACATTTTGATTTATTTCTTTAAAAACACATCCATTCATTTACTTAACATTACTTATATGTAACCACTACGTATATGGTTGTAGCATAGAACGTAACAAGCAGGAGTGTGTCATAGTTATCAATTAAGATTATTAATCAGTTTTTGTCAATTTCTCATCAGATTTTATCACAACCTGAAACAATGAATTTCTTGTCATTGTTTTATGAAACAGGCAAAAATCTTCACCTCTGGATAGCCGCTAAATGTTTAGAGCCGCTACTTTCCAAATTACATTAAGGTTATTTTTTCACGTTTCTCTGAAGTGACTGTTTGATTCACACATGAAACATTTTAGCACAAGACAGTCTCTCTCCTCCATTTAAATAAACTGACTTAGATCAATATGGATGAGCAGAGTAACATGGCCATTGTAAGTAATATCTGTCAGAACATTTCAGAGGCATTCAATGCACAATGTAAAGCCTATTAAAACCACAGCAATAAAAGAGGTGCTTTCATCAGGATGCCTATAAAACACAACATCTCCACCTTGCTGCCAGTTAAACTGTTTATTTAGTCCTTGGGATTAAGTGGGATTTTAAAAGCTACGCCATGAAAAGAGACAGGTTCCATTAAGTCAGTGTAGGATAATAGTAGATGCTAGCTATAAAAACAGAACAAATGGCTTTGTGCAACAAAGATCATCATGGGAGAACTTTACATTCCTGGCTATCCAATCAAAGAGCTGGATCACTCACACATCTAAATTCCTTGATGTGACGTTAAATCTTTGGCTTATGGTGTATTGAGTCTAGCTCCTCCAGCCTGCATGCATAAACACTATGTGACCTCAGCTCAACTGACAACCAATCTTCAAAACACCAACAATTTTTGTCTCTTTCCTATCTCACATTTTCAGTGGATTAATCTCAACTCTTTCATTCTCTCACCTTTTCCACTTGTCTTTTAGCACAGGGGAAGTCCTCGTCCACAGCCAGGCAGTGGAGAAAGACTTGGAGAGACTCGTCCACCTGGCCCATCTCATGCAGCACCATAGCTTTCCTAAACAAAGCCTGAAAGAGCAGAAAGGAGCAACAGAAAAAGATTAATTTTACTTCTGTACCAGCATTTATGTTTTCATAGGGTATTCACTCTCATGCTTTTGTTTATTTGACTACTGTGTACAGACAGAACAATCCACTTTGAAACAGCCAGACAGAACACAAGCAGCTTTTTGCAGTATTTATATGCTTGTCAATAAATCAATATGAATCGACCAATTATGCAAGTGCTTTTACATGATATACTTTGCCCCACAGATACAGAATATCTGGGCTTCAACCCAGATATTTGGTCTCTTGTAATTGATGTAATAGTCACTAATGGCTTTGACCTTAATCACTTTCTCAGTTGTGGTCTAGAAAACCTTCTGATACTCTTCATGATACTCTTTCGTAACAAATCTATTTTTAAGAGGAACCCTTTTATACGACACTAAAATAGCAGGAGGTTGATAAAAATATGCCTTGTAAACAAACAAACAAACAAACACACATATAGGATCACCACAAAAAAAATATTCTTGGATCATGATTCTGTAAATTCAGCTGCCAAATCATGCAACCAAAATTATGTCTTCAACCAGGTTTATTCTATAACAAGGCAAATGAATGAATAAATTTGATGATGAACTGATCTGGCCCACAAGTTACAGGTCATTAACTTGTAACTATAATCCAATGAGACAACCAACGAGGTGCTCCCTGTCTAGGGCAGCTATCTTAAAATACACCTTTTCTTAGTAATGGCTGGCTGACCAATATATCATCACAGACTGACTGACAGATTAAACACATGCCAGCTTCTAGTGAGTAAAGACAGGTGTGTGAGCATATGTAAACAACCTCGCAATGCCACTATCCCTGTAGAACCAGGTGTAATCACATCATACAATTTGACTAATAACAACCAAATGTCTGCACAGAAGACATTTTCATAAATTACTACCGTATCAGTGACCTACTTCAGCAGAACAGCTGGACCCGGGACAAAACTGTGTGTCCTCCAAAGCCAGACAGTACTGTTTGAGAGCCATGTACGCCTCCGCTCGAGACAGTCGCGCCACCGCTGCCGTGTCTGGATCTGCAAAATACAGGATGAGATAGAGAGGGAAAGCAAAGCATTTTAGGTCAAATGTGTATCATTTACTATGACTTATTTCAATACCATACAAACATCAAAATGTCAATAATTTAATGGGCAAACGTACAACTTTTTCTATTTGCATGGGTAGGTAGCATTTACCTCAACGGAAAGTTTAAAAAATCTGTCATTTCCTGCAAGTCATACATTACATGACAACACGACAAATAAGTTATATATCAACTCAATTCTGTACAAGCAATGCAAATGAAAATAAGTTACAGAAACGAGAGCAAGAGCTCAGTGGATTTCACATTTTTATTCCCCATAGTGGGCTGAATTAAAAGGGACACAAGTTTCAGATCCTAGCCTAAACTACGACCACAAATTGAAACGTTGAAAAAGAATCTCTGCTTTTTGTTGGTGGCAGCAGCATTTTGTGGTATGGCTACATGGCCATATTTTCCTTTGGATGTACGTTTACTCTACAATTAGATATGTGACATCCCTCCCGTTACCCAACCATGTCAAGCTGCTGTGAGCAAGTCTCAGCCTTTTGAAGCAGACTGTCCTGCAGGCAATACTGACCAACGGATTCTGTTAGTACACTAAGTTTACCTTCATTTCATGAACCGTTCGGTCAGTTATACTTTCTTTGTGGACTAAGCTGTAATTTTTCTGCACATGGCATGTCATCAATCCCAGTAATGTATTACCTTTCATTGAGACACATGGGATTTAGCTCATTTTTCTGATGTATTGCAGATGCTAATGTGAACAGTACCACAGGTTATTTGTGTAGTCATTATAATGTCAGTTAAGTGTCCCTAATCATCTGGACGTTTCTGTCCTGCCTCTTAAATTGTCTGCAGCACTGAGGGCCAGCACTGTCAAAAGCAGGTGGTATGACTGCATCACTCCTACTCCCCACAGTGGTATCAATCTGCATTCCCAACCCAATGTCAAGTGACAGTTTTTCTTGTCAGATGGTGGTAGACCAGTTATCCTCATATGTCCTTAAGTTATACAGTTCATGGTTTTTGTCCAACTGAGATCCAAAATGCAGAACCACAGGATCATGTATGTTTTTACAGCCTGTCAACAATCAATCTGTCCTTAGGCAAATAAAACAAAATGTCACACAATATAAACACATAGATGAGAGATTCCACTTAAACACCTCACTTTGGCTAGACAGTACGTAAGGGCTGCAGCTAACAATCACAATTATCGATTAATCTGCTCATTATTTTGTCACTTAATCAATTAATCATTTCATCTATAAAATGTCACAAAAAAGTTAAAAATATTCATGATAATTTCCCAGAGCCCAAGGTAATGAATTGCTTATTCTGTCCAAGCAACAGTCCAAAACCCAAACATATTAATTATATTCTCATTAAATGATAATGATAAGATGATATGAAAACTAGTAAATATTGACATTTGCTGCTGGAAGCAATACATTTCTGGGAATTTTGCTTAAAAAATTACTTAAATAATGATTCGATTATCAAAATTCTTGTAACCCAGTAATTTAGGTCATGCCTTTCACAACTATCCTGTAGGCAATGTTTGAGTAACAGAGGTCAACAGGGCTACAGCAAGGTTACATATGTTGTTACATCACTTGACCCAAATACTATGGATGTCTCCATAAGCTCTCATAACCCAAGTGAAGGTCCAGAACAATTGCCCAGCCATACTGTCAGAGTACCAGGACATTACATTGTGTTTTTCATTCTAAACTGCTGCACATTGGGATTCTCAATCATCTCAACATAATACGAACAAGTGCGTAAAATAAAATTAAGACACAATGGTTCCCTCTTTGGGATTTAGTGGTTGTGAAGTAAAAAACTATATTATTTCTCTAACAGAGCAGTGCCTTACCCACAATGCAGAATACCATTATAGTTTGTATTTATAGATACTTGTGTCATGATAACCACAATACTTTTTAGCCCTTTTTAACCAGAAAATTCTGAGTAGACTAGCAGGCAGTTTCCAACTGTGGGCCACCTCCACTGGGGCATGTGGGGTCTCAAGGACACACTAGACCATAGTTGTAAGGCTGCAACTAAGAATAATTTTCATGAACAATTAATTAGCAAACTATTTTTCAACTTATCAATTTATAGTTCAGTCTATAAAAATCAGATATTTGACAAAAATGTTGCAGAGCTTTAAATGACAACTTAACAGGTCTTGTTCTGTTAAACCAATTTAAGTAACCCCCCCCACACACACAAACACACACACACAAAAAGACTATAGTACTGTAGGCCCAGCAAATATGCTCTTTGAGATAGTGAAACCACCAAATATTTGGAATTTCTGCTAAATAAAAGCAACACTAAATCAATTATCAAAATGTTGCCAATTATTTTTATGTAAAGCGACTAATCACTTAGTTGGCTCATTGTTTCAGATCTAATTATCTCATTCATTTCACCTTTGCCAACTTTAACAGGTAATGTTGGGATTTGAACCAGCAGCCCTTCCAGCCACATACCTCCTGTATCACAATGTGTTATCTAAATATCATCTGCCACAAATGTACCATTTTTTTCATTGCATAATGTCAGGGTCTGTTACAAAAGCTAACTCATAGAGTGTCTATCTGGCCCACCAGCCTGCCCCTGCCTCCTAAATTGATCCACAAATGCTGTATTCATCCCCTTTTAAAACATTTATGAAACGCTGTCTCGTAGCAGTCATAGCAATTACAAAATACAAATGCCCTCCCCCTTAATAAGTTACAAAACTGCCCCAATATGTGTCACGACCTGCCTTATGCAACTTGCATCGAGTGCGCATGCTCAACTTGTGAACTTTCGTAAGCAGGACCTGCCAGATTACACGACAGTCAATGGGAGGAGGCTGGCACCAGAACAACACATGGAGTACTGGACTTAGTTTACAAAATGTTGGTCAGTGGAACTCGGGATTCGCTGGCATCAAACAATTATAGTGTAATGTTCAAGCATTTTCCTATCATTTCTACACAGAGTTTGTAATGCAGCGTCTCAACAACACGTGATGCTCGTATCACTCCCACTGAGAGTGCGCAGCACAAGACATACAGCCAGGAAACACCTCTCTCCTCCAGTCAGCATGAATGTGTAAGGTTATGCTAACACTTACCACTATCGATAACATCGGTCGCTAGCGACACAGCCTCTTGGTAGCGTTTACTCCTGCACAGCTCGTCCACTTCACATAGTGTTTTCGACTTTTTCAGCTCGTCGGGGAACCATTTATCTAAAAGTCCGCACAGAATTACATTGGCTTTCTCCTCGCCCCCCACGGCTTCACTACACAGCTTACATTTGGAGAGCAGCCGCCGTTGTAAACACCTCTTACAGTATGAGTGTCCACATGCTATAGTCACAGGTTCACCTAGAAAGCTACGACAGTTGGGACAGTCAAACACATCGCCCCCACGGCTGACCCGACTCCGGCCCGAAGGTGCCTCCGGTCCGGCCGCTTTCCTCTTAAAGTTGCGGAGGATACAGTCCACGAAAGTGCTCAGTTGCTCGGGTCGCACAGGGCCGTATTGCATGGCCACTGAAAACCAGTCAATGGCTTCTTTGGGGCAGTTTTCCGATGATAGCGCGTTGGCTTTCTGTAGAATAAGTTGATGGTGGTCCTCCTCTGCCGACACGTCGTCCGAGTAGGCTGCACCGATGAAGAAGGCGCTTCTCTCCTCCGTAGCGTCCTCCACTTGCGGTTGGAGCGACATTATAGCGTCTAAAAAATTAGAAATAAGTGTTATGTAGATTTGGGTTTTCTTCTGTTAGTCTGTCTATACATTTCTAAAGCTGCCGCGGTCCATCATAGTGCAGTGAACGGACTTTCCCATAGACACCCGTTTGTTACATAAAAAGCACAGTCACGTGAGCAGCAGGCTCGGGCCGTGATTGGTCAGAACGTTTCGGTTACAAAACATGCGTTGTGAAGTTTCATAACTACGGAAAGGACGTAGTGAAGTTGACGGACTGTACCAGATCACAGTGCTACCATTTGAACTCGACTCCTCTGCTCTTAAACTCCCACAGACTGGAACTTTAAAACAATAGGATACAACAAAAACATATTACATAAGTACTTTTTGATATATCGATCGATACAATTTTGAAAGCTGTCTGAAGACTTATTCAGAAAACCCCTTTATAACTGGTTGTGTAATAACATTTTATAACACCTTCTAAGTTTCTGTTTTATATAATTTATTTCATTTTACCTGGCTGTGTCTAGCCTCTAGAATATTTCATTATCACTTTGTAAAACTTCTTTCTAAGTGACCTCCACATATTCTTTTCTTGCAAGTAGCAAATTTTGCATAAAAAACAATGGAAAAAAAATCAAAGCAATTGGCCTAAGGCTGGATTACCATCCCTGTAGTGGGCAACTGCCCAGGGGCCCCTAAAGCCCTAGGTTTACGCTACTCTAATTCTGTCTACATAATCTGATCTCTTGCCAATTTGATAGAAATTTGCACAGATGAAGTATGCCAGGCCCTCAACCCTCCATCTTGCGGCCTACGTCTGTGTCAAAAAATGTAGTTTTAAGACCTCATCTGCTTTCATTAAAAGAACTACAAGGCTGCAGCCAACAATTATTTTCATCATCAATACATTTGACAATTATTTTCTTGAATAATTGATTGATTGTTTAGTATATAAAATGTCAGAAAATAGGGAAAGCTGCACATCATTATTCCCAGTAGCCCAAGAGAAGGTCAGAACAGCTGAAGCACACACAAAATACCTATTTATAACTCAGACCCTCCTCTTGTATATGAGTGAATATATGCCTACAGTTTAAAGCTCAAAAATGACTTTTCAGGCCTATCATTTTAGCATGTATTTCCAGCCTCATAGCAGAAATACAGTCCACCCCATCCACCTTTTCAAACCCAGTGTCGCTTGACACAGATCCTTTCTGCAGATCTGCTGTCACACCATGTTGCCCTGTCTGTCACCTCCCATCATCACCTGTCATCTCTTGAAGCCTGGGCCACCGCTGGTCTGTAACCACTGTGGTGCTTTTTACACAGAAGCTAAAGTTAGCAACATGTCAAATAAAAAGTGAAAATTACTAAAGCAAATGACCTTACAAGAACATGACCAGCACCACCGCCAGCAGGCTGGAGATATAAATACATTTAATTTTTTTCTTCTCTTTAAAAAAAAGAAAAAGAAAAGTTATTCTTGCAAAATTTTAAGAAGCCGTTCAATAAACAAACATAAAACAGTAGCACAATAGCACTACAGCTTACAAGATGACAGTAATACTATAACAGCTATCAAACAGGATCCTTTTGTCCTTTTGTCACTGATTTGATGTCATAAAAACAACTCTGGTCTTAAGGAAACACATGATGTGCTGTGCGTCACATTTTTTGAGGTTTTTGTGGTTATTACCAACTGGAAAAGAAAGTATGAAATTTAATGCAACAAAATCAAAACAGTGCTGTTATGACATTCTAGTGTCAAACATTGGCCAACAGAGAAACAGACCAAGCAGCAAAAATAACAAATACAACAAAGTAATGTTAAAACACGATGTTGCTCTGATATGTCAAATGGCTTCATGAATATCTGGACAGAGACTCAGGATGTTGTAGAGTAGTTCTGGGTGAGTTGTGACGTGACCTTAAACCAGGCAAACTGTCTATAATGACAATTTGTGGAAAAAAAATGATCACTATTTCTACCATTATTGCAGCTCATTCAACTATATTAAAGTACGAAGTGCAATAACTGTTTGGAGAAACTTTGGAAACACATTTGCATAATGTAGTTGAGGTTATATGAGGCCAAACAGGGCGTGAACATGAAGGAGTTTTGTATATTGTGGAGCGACACTTCCCTCTAGTGGTCAAAGTGAACCATTACTCTAATAAGAAATTGAAATTGAAAAGTGTTACAATTTATAAAATGTCTCCTGAACAAGTGTATGAGACAACTGGAAAAAAATTATGTAATTAAAACATACATTGTATGCATAGGGACAATAAAAGTATGGGTTTCTGTGTTTTATATACAAAAACAAATAAGAAAAAAGAAACAGGCTTTACCTGTTACTTGACACAAAACTAGTATTTCCTTCCTTTGTGTCACATGTTTTTAGCCCACTAGCTCTTACAGAAGTAATATGTTTTTATTGCCTTGGTGTATTATTTTAATTCTATGTGATTAATTAGCATCAACCCAATAAACAAATGGGCAGAAGAATGCAGAGAAGTGACTAATCTTAATCCATACAACCACTAGAGGGCAGAGTTGTACTGTGTAAAACAGAAATAAACTAATCAGTTCAGTGACCCCTTGTGTTTGGTCAGAGATATTTCTATAAGGCATCAACTGGATGTGGTCAGTGCCTTTAGCTTTTGTGAGCCACACAGGGTACTTGAGAAAATACTTGAAAGATGACAGATGGACATCTTGAACCCAGGACATAGAAGAGTTTCACTGGTGCTCAACTCATGATGTAAGATGTGGAAAAAAAGTACAAAATTGTCTTTGTGTCCTCAACTAACCCAGTCCTGCGTGTTTTCGTTCCTTTTTTACCTCTGCTGACCTGCTTCAGATCCTGCTTCAAGTGTATCCATTGAAATATAGAGTGGGCATTTCTTTCCTTTTGTTTCTGTCATGCCACATTCACATGTGCACACAAACATGAAAATTCACAGCGACATCATGTCAGGACTGTGACACCCCCACTGTGGGATGTGGATTTGACTCTGCCACATATGGGACACAAATGATTAGGTCATTGAAACAACTAGAAAGTGTTTTTTGCAGGTGTCTGTTCATATCTACCGATACACCAGCCTGATTTTCTGGAGGACAGACAGACAGACAGACAGACAGACAGACAGACAGACAGACAGACAGACAGACAGACAGACAGATCTGTGTTTTCCCGCTTAAAACCTTTACTTCCAGTCTTTGGAATCTCTGGGATAGCGAGATATTTTGAGAGCGACATGAGGTCAACTGTAGAAACATTGTGTGACTAAATGCTCTGTCATTGTCCATGTTGACTCTTAAAATACAATGTTATCGCATGACATACCATTTATGTTGCCACAACAATATCACAAGCCATCCATCAGAACATGCCAGTCCATGTGGAGGTATTTGACCCACAGTTCCTGTCTGACATTTGCCACGCCCGTGGGATTTCTTGTGAACAAACACAACCACTCACTGATGACACTGGTGGGGGTTTATTTTAAAAACCAGGACAAGTATCTGTAATATTCTGTGGTTCAGGGGGAATATAGAATGTGAAAACCCCAACTATAAAAATGAAATATAAAATCAGACCTGGTATTGATCCAGTGATAACTTATGCACTGTTTTGTTGCAAACTGAATACGGCATCTTTGATAATTGCCTGACAAACTGGACGAAAAATGCACACACATAATGCAAGCATTTGCACACGTTCGCATTCATTTATCAATGTGGGAAACCCTCTGCGCTTGATTCTCAAACAGTGCAGGAATGCAGCACTGTTGCTGACTCTTTGGTCAGTCTTATCTGGCCCTGCATAATCTCCCAGAGGTGTTTGCATTCCAAGCACAAATACATACACATGTACATACAAAAACATACCAACATTTAAGAGTGAGGCACGCACTCAGGAGAAGAGAAACAGAAAGCATGACAGAATATAGACCTATAGAGGTTTAGGTTATTTGAACAAAAAGTAACGACAAGTCTGTTTAAGGGCCACAGCAAATTCAAAGGCAAGCACATGCATATGTATGTGGTTACATGTGTGAGTCTTTGGGAGGCTCTGGTTAATCTCTAGCTCCTGAGTTGCACTCAAGAGGAGAGTACACGAGGTGTTCACGGTCCATTAGAAGAAAAGTGAGTTAACGTGCCGGCACCAAATGTAAATCCATTGTCTTGGCTGTGGGCTAATCACGTTAACACTTGTTTCTGCCGTCACACTGTACATGTGTGGAAAGTACCTAGCTATATAAATACACAATCCAAGTTAATGGATCATAATAATTCCTCTGTTTGGATAAAAGCAAGGCGTGAACAAAACAAGTGCAGCATGTGACACCTTCGTACATTATGTGCACGGGAAAGATCCTCCTACAGACAGCCACTTCTCGCTTTGCCAAGTCATTAAAACCATATAGGGGTACATTAGCCACTGCTCTGACCCTTGGTTGGAGCACCCCCTCCCCCAATTATTTGCCGTGTGACTGCCCCCCCCCCCGTTGAGTCTGCTGGGTCTAGACCATGCCAGCTGTGGTACAACAGACCCCATTGTCTTCTTCTATATGAAACTGTTATGTAAGAAACAAGACAAGAAGTGAGATCACCCTCAACCAAGCCAGTTGATACCCGCCTGCATGCAGCTCACGCCTCTCTGGCCCAGTCATGGGTGTACTGGTGTGGAATGAAGGCAAGAGTGAAGGGGGATGTGGCGGTGCGGGGAAGCGGGTAGGGAAATCCAGAGTTAGTCTGAACTCTGGATCTAAGAAGGTGTAAGCACTCGGAACAAACTGTAGTGTAAACAAATGACTGGAGAGATTATGAGGGATTTAAAGAGTAAAACCAGAACAAAGCCACAACTTTTTGGTCTGAAAAATTGTCTGTAGTGTGGTCTCCTTTTATACCCATTGTTACATAAATCTCAAGACACACGATTATTATTTTAATACATTTAATAGTGCACTTTGATTAACCTGTACAGAAATAATATTAATAAAAAAGATAAAACATTTGTTCATTTCCGTAACACAAAGCTTAACATTTACAATAAAATAAAATAAAATGGTATGATACAAAACAAACATATATCTGAGGTATAAATATATTTGTTTTAAATTAACCGTCATTGTCATGCGTTATTATTTGGCAGAGACACAGTTAAAGGTACAAACATCGATGATATGAACAATGGCTTAGTGAATTAATCATACAGCTCAACATGACAAAAGCGAGCCCTCAGATTGAAGCGTGAATGTTATGAAGAAGGTCAACTTTGTTACGAGGACCATAGATCTCTTACTTCTTTTTAAACACTGACAAGACAGTACAGAGGAAGAAGCATATATATATATTTTTTTCCTTCCTTTGAAATCACACAAACATTCAATCTGCCCTCTTCTTTACAGTAAAACCTGTAAAACCTCCACCTTTATAAAAGGACCTTTTTTTCTTTTTCTTTTTTTTTATGTTGATGATGTCCAGCCTACAACAATTTCAAAAGCTGCGAATTGTGCTATGTTAACACTTTTAATAGTGAGGAAAAGCTCAAAATGGGGAAGCTACTTCTTTCAGCTTTAACTAAATTTGGTCCATTAAATCTATTGGTCTTGTATTTTAGTTAGTCTGCCTCGTTTTTCAAAAATATGCAACTATTCCTCTCTCTACCAGAGCCTCAGTCACAAACTGTTCCTTAATGTTCTTCAGTCACTGAATAACTGCACAATGCTACATGTACTAGCATAGTCACAGATTTTGCCCATGTATCTTCGAGAACAAAAACAACTCACATGTCAAACTTGTGACATGTGCGGCTAACTGAATTAAAGTCTTCTTTAGGGAATGACATGTATTTGTATGTTAGTCAATGAGCCCCTTCCTTCGATCATTTCTTTCTTTTTGGTGAGCCAGCCACCGTACTCATCTGTCTCTGGCTTCCTCTACAACAACACAAAAATCCCTCTGTGCTATCAGCCACCTATTATCTCACAATATCCCGTCTATTGTCTCTACTCAGTCTGCATATTACTGGCACATTTGCAACTTTCTTCACCCATGGATTCATCAATCAGCTGACCATAATATTGTCTGCTATTTCTCCTGTGCTTCGCTGTAACAGAAAAAGGGACAGAGGTAACACAAGACAGACACCGACCATTACTGTGAACACAATACTGTATGTACACATTATGCTGCCACTGGAAACCAGTGCAAAGAATATGTATTTTTTAACCGTTTCTTGCTTTACACACACCCACCCATATATACACACACACACGCTCACACACACACACACACCCACACCCACACACACACACACACCCACACCCACACACACACACACACCCACACCCACACACACACACACACACACACACACACACAATCCCCCTTGCTTCTCAGAAGCAATAGCACCCTTTGGTTAAACCTCACATCCTGTATCAGAGACATCATGTCCTTTGGCCCAGATAAATGTTTGTGTGACACAAGTCCCCTCGACAGCACACTCCAATAAAATAGTTTATAATGTTAACATCAGTTTGCTGTGACATGATTAGAGCAAAAAACAAAAGAAAAAAGAAACGTCCTTCAATCCAGGGTTTGTCCTTTAAATGTGTGTATAAAGAGGTTTGGACCCCATCTATCTCTCTGTTAGAATGGGTGGAATGAGTCATTTCAAATCCCCAGTAGGATCCAAAATGTGGTCCAACGGGCCAGGGTTCAAAGAAGCTGTTGAGACTGTTGTTGCCCAAATTGCACACTGCTTTCTCATTTGTCCATGGGTGCAGTGAATGAGTCACGTATCCGCGCCACCTCAGCAGCACACAAGTGTCCATACAGTTTATTGTACCACTCTGGAAAACGACCCCTGAAGAAGAAGAAGAAAGAGACACAGTGTTAGTTAATTGTGTCATCAGCTAAATGACACTGAATTAACACAAAAGTATCGCTTAATAAAATCCCCAATTTGTTTTTGCTCCAGTTAATCATCCACTAACCTGCAGTCGATCCTGGAAATATGTGTGATTCTTGATTTGTTGGCTCCGCAGGGCTCGATGAAGTAGCGCGAGGTGAGGACATTGGCCCGAACACCTACAACAGGTACCCCTTCATGGTCCACAGACGTACACACAAGTGCGCATGCTCCCTTTGGCAGGTCTGTTACCCATGTTCTGGTAGATAGAGCACAGAGGGAGTTTGATTTAAAAACAAAACGGTGAATCAAAGCACAACAGCAAAAAAAGATACAGACAAAGCGAGAAGTAGGACAGACGAGGAGGAAGAGATGGGAAAATGGTCTACCTGAGCACCAAATGGTCTCTGGTGGGATGTGGAGCCATGGTGTTCCTGACGTACTGGTAGACCTCCGTCCTCTCATCCAGTGTCTCCACCACACGGCTCTCGAGCAGGTCCTCATCCCAATGGCCCTGCTCCCGCAGAACCCGTGTCAGAACCTCTTCAGGACTTGCAGGCATCTCCACGGTTACCTTCCACAGCCGCAGCGGAAACCCATCATGCACCTGGAAGAAGACACAGAAAGGCTGGGTCAATTTACATATTTCTTTACATATTTTTACACGCTTGCTTTGCAGGGAGACCAAAGCAGAGTATTGGTGTAGAAATTTGATTCAATAGGCTGGATGCGAGTTAAATAAATATTGCAACACACTTATATTATAAGAATGCTTGAAAATTATTATTTTAATTTTGTCCATATTGCCAAACTGTACTTTAAAGTGGACTGTAAGGGTTCGTGTGGTAAATACATTAACTTCAACTGTGCAAGTGTTTGGAGGCTTCCTGTAGGATATCTAATCTTATCAGTGATATTCACATAAATTAGATGTGGCAATCGAGCCAAAATTTTAATGCAAAACAGTCAGGCTGTGTTGTGGAAACTAAGCCATAAGTTTAATGCATAACAGTTGGGCTGTGTTTCAAAACCTCGCATTGCCCTTAAGCCAAGTCAGCTGCTTCATTTGACCATAAGATGATAAAAAACACACACACTCTTCGCCTTGTGACTCTCAAACTGGAGAAAAGATAACCTTCCAGAGTAGACAGGAAATGTAGGCCTGGGATAGTGTTGAGGTTGCGTATGTTTGTGTGTGTATGTGCAAGTCAAGCTGATGTCATTCTGGGACGGAGTCCAGTAATGGGATGGGAATGGGAGGCCAAGGGCCAGGCCAGTTTCACATGGATGTGTTTCTATACAGGAAACCCTAACTGCTGGTTTTCCACTAGATATTTAGAGAAGCAGGAGAGAGGGAGAGGCGAACACGAAGAGGGAGGGAGAAGACAGGAAACAGATAGCTGAAAAGAGAATGTGTGCTTCATGAATGGAGGCTTGTTTACACACTAATGACTGATCTCTTGTTAATTAATCTCATGAATCCCATTACTTTCACTCTGGCAAATTTATCACTGTATTCAGTTTCTATCGCAAACAAACATAGTGAAAGCAGCCAGATGGACTGAGCAGACAAGCTGCAGAGAGCAAACAAAAGGTGGGCTCACCTTTCTGTAGGCCAGCTCGGCGTGCTCGGGTGTGGAGCAGCTGTCATAACCTCTGAACTTGTCCTTGGCCTCTTTGAGGAGGGCGTCCAGGCTGTCCCGTAGGTACGCCCTGTAGCCTCCTTGCCCGGCCTCTTCACCTGCAAGATCCTCCAAACGTCGAGGCAGCAGCGCCTGCTCCACGTACGAGTTCCTGCAGCGATTCATCTCGTCTGGTATCTGTGGGAAAGGAGGAGTCAGAAAATATGTCATTACTTTTCACTGTGTGGATGGAGGCCATGAGCAGCTCAGGTATATGACGGTTAATGTTTCTTATTTGAAAGAGAAATATCGATGTATGTCTACCACAATGCTGTTCCATACAACACTCAGACATAGTAAGGAGTGAAAGCTTAAGTAAGAACATAATAAATTAAAGCCTCCCTTCACTCAAAATTGTGTTTTGCATATTGTTTGGATGTTTGAGCTTCACTGTGCAGAGTGATGTATAAGTTTGACACTAGAGGGCATGTTGAACCAGAACCTGTACCTAGTTAACTGAGCTTTTTATTATTCAAAGCAGGATATTTCTGTGTCTTAAAACATGTCTGGAGGTGGTACTGATTACATTAATGGGAAACTGTATTAATTGTAACTTGTGGAAAACAATTTCAAATGGAAACAAAAACATCCTATTTTCATCTCCTTGTTTGCCGGGCTTATTCTCCCACTTTCTCTCTCTCCGTCTTACTTGTATGTGGCATTTTTGAGGTTTAATTGTATCCTAATAATATTAATGTCTAAGAAAAGGATTCTCATTAGACAAGGATAGGAGGGTTTAATTGGATGTTGATAACAGTCAATTATTTCATAGGTCATCTTCCATTTACCAACCTCCACGAGCAAGTAGAAATCTAATTAAAAGAAAATAATTTGGGAGGTAATTGAGTTTACTTGTTGTGTGACGTGACCATGACAGGAAGCCAGGAAGCTCTCCCACAATCTAATAAAACTTTGAACAGTAATCACACACAGTGTGCAGCCTTTTAGTAATTACTATGGCATGTCAGAGAAGAGTTTGCTGGGCAGAGAACGATTTAGGCCGAATGGCAATGAAATTGGATTAGTTATAGTGTAGTTTGCTGATTATTTCCTGTTTATCCCATCAAGTGCTCTCCTTGAGGACACACATAACCACACTGGTTGAGATAGATTCATGGGTGTTCAACCAGTGCTGTGCTATATTTTTACCTTTCTGCACAAATGCTCGAGTTGGGTTTAAAGGGACAGAAACATGAAGTAAAGTCCTGTTCTCTACATATGGGGCATTTAAAACGGAAGGCCAGTTGGTGTATTTATTTTATGTAATCATAACATTGCTTGAGCAAATGACAGCATGAATTGGATTAACGAGTTATGTAACTGGGACTATATTTGTTTAAAGGACAAACACAGGGAGACAAGGTGTTTGGCAGAAACATGGTACAGTGAGCCAGAGGTGACATTCATTTGGTCAGCAAACACACCTTCATCACCTAAAATGGCAGTTTGCCATTAAAACCTCAATCAATAAACCATTCTGATCCCTTTTGCCATCAATTTTCAAGCTTACTTTAACCTTAAAATGTGAGACGTTTGCTACGTTAGAGTACACATTCAGTTCCAGTGCTGTAAACTACTGACCCGGAAGAGTTTCCTGCACTCCTGGATCATGTGTGCCAGGCCATGAGTGGCAGCCAGGTTCTCATTCAGATCTCTCTGGTCCGGTTTTCCCAGCGTTTGCTTCCGGTTCATCACCCTTTGCCCAAGGAGGAGGGAAAGAAGATTAGTAAGCGTATCTATCATCCAGACAGTGGGTGAAGGACAAAGCAGGGGAAGCAGAGGAGGTTGAAGATATAAAGAAAGAAAGAACAAAAGTGTTCTTTCTTTCAGGTATACACCTGACGAACCCCCCTCTAGCAGCGCCAAATCTGGAACAAAATGTTTCTTAATTAGCTAAAGATGTTTATGTAACCCTTCTATTTCCTCTGTCTCTCTCCCTTCCTCTTCTCACAAGCTTTGCTCTCTTCCTTTTTCTTCTGTCCTATATCTACAGTATCCTGCTCTTTTGTTTCTATAGAGTGACCCTTTCCTGTTTTCAGAATGTACAGCATATAACAGGTTATGTACGCTGCTGATACAATAACTGTGTCAGTGATATCATAAAACTGCACTAATTACAACGGCACACTCTCAGACACACACCTTGGCGAGGAGCTCTCCTTGCGGCGCAGGGTGTTGAGGTGGAAGAGGGACGGGGCCAGACAAACAGCCAGGTTGGTGGGAGTCATCTGGTTCTCGGACACGCTGGCTGTCACGTCGCTCAGCAGACACAGCAGCGTCCGCAGCGCCTCTCGGTTCTCATCGGGCAGCAGCAGCACGGCGGCACGAGCTGCCTGCAGACGGAGCTCTTTAGGCATGTCTAGAGAGCAAGAGGGAGATGTTATGGCTCCTTTTTAATATCACGTGCAGAAAAGGGCTAAAAATCACTGTCACTCTACATCACATCATCTTTTTTGTGTGTGCGCTGGTTAACTCAGGAAGTAGGCTTTCTTTTGCCTGCCAAGAGTGAGCTATGATGGGATCTGTGTCGAGCTAAGTGTGTTATATAAACCTATATGTGTGTGTACACTATACGCTTCATGCGTCATACTTCCTGCACAGGACTGGTTTTTGTTTTACCTTATATAAACAGTTCCTAATGCAGCTATTACAATCACACTGTGGCAGAACTTGAGAGGATGTCCATGCTTGATGTGAGTCACTGAAGAATGAGCCAATACTATAGGAGTGCATTTACGGTTTATATATCACCTCATTCCACAGGTATTTCCTGCACTCATCTTGTTTGTTTTCTTTTTAGAGTTTCACAATTTCGTACTCCATGACAGGCAAGCATCTGCAGCTCTAAAACAATACACTCATGTGTATTCCTGCACACAATGCTCTTGTAGATGTGTGGCTGTATGTGGATGTCTGTACAAGATTATGTTCATACTCTCAGTATATGTGTGTGTATTCTTACACTGATAGATCTGGAGGAAGGTCTCGGAGAGTTTGCTAGTGAGCAGGGGTTCTGGCAAATCTCTGAAGTACTGCTTCAGCATGTCTGCAACATCATAAGCAGACTGGCCCTCGTAGCTGACTCCCCCTCCATCTGCGCCACTCGCCTCGTTCATCTGGCGCAGAGCTTGGATTCGAGACTTAACTCCTGATTTCCTGAAAAGACCCACCTTCACAGAGAGACAAGGACACAGAGAGAACGAGTTACATCATGGATAAACGCACAGATACTTGATAATTCAGCTTTGAACTATAATTTACTTACACATTATTACATCTTATCATTAAAGTGTATCAAAAATGATTCATGTGCCTGTCTTCTAAATCTGCAGGCTGTTATATATTCTAGTCTTATCCACAAATCCAAAGCTTACAGTCAATATGGTTACATCACAACAGATCATGTTGACTGTATTTATGAGAAGCATCCATGACACCCAGTAGGCATTCTTGTACTGAATGCTGTGAAAGACCTCATCAGTGGCCTTTTAAGGCCTTATGAAATGGCAATGTAGCGGAGGAAAAGAGAAAAAGGCCGTTGGCCTGTCCAGCCTGAATATTTTCCATGAGCTTTCACCACTTCCAAACAGAGGCGACTTGTTCTGCTTTGAAAAGAACACCATCTCTCTTTTCTGTTTTGCCCTCCATTAATGCTTTTTTGTCCTCATTCCCCCTTTCTTGCCTTTACGAATATACACACGAGATACTCTGAGATAAATCTTTCATACTGTCTGGGGATTAAACAGACAGACACAGGTGACTTCCCAGCTGCACACTTAGACTTTCCCCAGGCCTCCACACTTCAGCTTATGTATGACAGTGAGAAGAGAAAAAGGGGGAAAGACAGAAACCATATAAACACACTGACTAGGTGGGCATCAGGCTTTTTCCGATTCACTGCTCCATCTTATGTAACAACCAGTCAAAAAAAATCAAATCAAATCATGGATCCACATTTGATTGATTGCAGATGTCCTACAATGCAGATATTATGTAACTCAAGCATGTTAAAGAAAAAGCCTTTTCTCTTTACTGTGAAAACTGAAAACACAACTTTAAGCTAAATGACAGGCTGGCAAGAATTGTGACATTATGTACACATGCAATCAAAGTATAAGCACAGGTTTATGATTACATCTGTCCAAATATGTAATTTTTATGTGTACTTTATGTTACCTGGTCGAGGCACTGATTGCGCAGGTAGCGCATGGCCTGTTGGATTCCCTGAGGGAGGGGCTGGCCTGTCCGCTGGACGATGACTTGTAGTGGCACACCAAACACATTCCTGTCTTTATAGTCACGCACCTTGATCCGCTTCATAAACTTTGGCACAGCCCTACAACATACAAGTAACTCATTAATATGTGCAATGCAGGATATTGACATGGATCTCAATATTGACATGAGTCAATACAGACAGGTGACAAATGAAAGGAAAACCAGCTTCAAGTGTCTTAGTAAGGTATTGGGCCACCATGTGCTGCCAGAGCAGCTTCAATGCTCCTCTGCATTGACTCTACAAGTCTCTGGACTCTACCAGAGGGATGAACACCATTCTTCCAAAAGATATTCCCTCCTTGGTATTTTGATGGCGGTGGTGGAGAAGAAGGACGTAGCATATGATTCACATCATTTTCACTCTTATCAAACCATTTAGTGACCCCTCATGCTCTATGCATGGGGGTAATGTCATCCTGTTCTTCCACTCTTTTTCAGGTTTTTCCTTAATTTGTCACTCATCTGTATGTTTCAATTAGTTGTTAGTTGTGTGTGTTTGTGTTTTATGTGTGTGCAACAACCAAGCTGCTGCAGAAGCCTGTCTCCAGGTTTATGAGAGGGGTGGATAAACAGGGTGAGGGGAGAATGGGGGGGTATGCTGGGCTGTCAAAAGGGGAGGATCCCACTGCTTTATACATCCGCACAAAGTGTCTGTCTCACTATTTGTTACTCTGTGTGTGTGTGTGTGAGTGTGCGTGCACGTGCACGTGTACTTGGGTGCAAAGTGAACAGTGAGTCTATAACCACAAACCCAGAGTTGAAACATGCAACTCCGACTGTTTCACAAGAATGCGCCCACAGATTTAGGGCTGTGTATCTGTGTTTAGCAGAGAGACGCTATGCGCGACTCGGGACAAGCTTGTCTTTGTGAGAGCCGTTCACATGACTCAGAGCGCCTCTCAGAACCACAGTTTGGGATAAATGGTAAAGGAGCATGTTATGATCCCGGCCCAGAATTCTGATTATGTGTGGGCCTTCAGCGGTCAACAAGTGGCCTCTGTCTTTCCGTGAGACCCTGCCTGTTCTAAGACTGTCATAATGTCATCTGTTCCTGTCCAAGAAAGGCCTCAAGTAGAAATGATTAGATTTTTCACTTTTAGTTCATTTTTCTCATCTGATGTTGTAAAGTGGTATAAAAAGTCAGATGTTAGAAAACAGGTAACTGTGTTACACTGATATTTTGACTGAGGAATGTCCTGTAATATATTTGCTGGTCAACAGAGTTAAGTCTTTTATAACACTTGTATTTTGCACTGCTCTTTATTCAGGCCTTCTCTATCAAATTACATATGTAAGGGACTTTTCCCCCCAATATTTGACTTGAACACAAAAAATGCAGAAATACAGACAAAAAGAAAAGGTAGAAGTAGCGACCGCAAAATCTCTGAAGCAGATACAGTAACAAGTAGGATATTGGGTGCTATTAGATAATCATGAGCAGTATATAAAGTGAGCTGAAACCAATACTCTAGAGGTGGTAGAGAGAAGGTAGTGGTGGAGTGATTATTGTTGAGAGCAGATCTTTCCAGCCTCCAGCTCTTGTAACGCCATGCGTGTGAACTGCCATGATTGCCCCGTTGAGAAAAAGACAATGTACGCCCCTTCCCAGCAATTACAGGCCTGGGAAAAGAATGTGAAACCCAACCTCTGTGGACAGCCGTCACCACACTATACAACAACCTGCAGATGGAAGGGATTGGGAGACCGGTGGGATGGAGGGGTAGCAGTTGGCTTGCTGAATGGATAAATTCAAGGGCATTTCTTACAGGGAACAATTAGCCAGACGCAGAAGGCTTTTTACGTGAAAAACAAGCTTAAAAATCTGTGTGTGTGTGTGTGTATGTGTGTGTGTGTGTGTGTGTTCTTCTCCTTAGTACACATAGTCTGTATTTCCCTTACTTAAGCCTTCCATTTTCCTCCAGTCCACTCACCAGCTGAAGCCATGTTTGTTTGTCGGGGTATGCTTCTCCAGCAGAGCAGTGAGCTGCAGCAGGGAGAGCTTCTGGAGCAGATTCATCTGTAACACAGACTGGCAGCTAATCTGGAGCTGGGCGGAGGCCAGGCTGGGCCGATGGGAGTTCTGGAAGCTCGGCCAGCGGAGTTTCTGTGGCCTGGAGTGCAGAGAGACAGAAGGAGAGAGCACAAATTGAGATGTGAGAAGAAGAATGTTGATTGAAAAAGAGAAGTTTAACTCTTGGGATATGCGTCATGCTTTTGTGTACACATAAATTTAGAAAATAACACATAGCAACACACAGTATTTGTAGTTGTATGTGCCAAATAATCAGTTTTGGGATTACATGGATTTATGTACACATCAATCAAGAGATTGTCTAAAGGACTAAAAACACACACACACACCCCAAGTGTAATTCTGCCTGTGGATTCCTGAAGGAACAGAAACAGTCCCCATGGAGACAAAGCAGCATTCCAGAGTATTCAGCACCATTACGTAAGGAGAGACGTCTCAGCGTGTCCCCCTGTTTATCCTTTGCTGTCACTTTCTATGGAAAACTCTTTTTGTTGGTACCTCAGTGTTTGTCTTTCTATTGTTTTGTTGTCCTTGAGATTTTCGTGCACTAAGGCAATGCTTGCCAGGACTTTAACAGACGAAGACTGAGAGCATGAGTCTGTTTGGAAGCAGCTTTGTGGATGACTTTCTCTAATAGGATCAGTTCACCTAAATAACAAAGTTAAGATAGATAAATAAGATCGATAAATTAAAAGTTCTCACTCAAACTACTTCCTACAAAAGAAAGAGTGTGGTCTGTGGATTATCCAGAGTAACAAGATATTGCTTTTGTTTTTTTTTTAAACCTGAACAGATAAACCAGAACTATCTACATTACTGGATACTACGAGAATGAAGTGAGAAAATATTTATTTGTTATTTTGGGTATACTGACCCTTTAATGGTTATACTGCATTAGTAAGAAGAGAGTTTAGATCTTCTTCACTGACCTGCTGGTTCGGGTTAGAGATGCTCCAACACCAGAATCTCTTCTTTCTCTCATCCCTTCCTCTCCCTCACCCAGCGGGTTTCCTGTGCTGTCCTGGTCACTTCCATTCTCGGTCTCTTCCAGTCGGTTCTGTAGAGGAGAAGAGGGGCATGGGGAAGCTGAGTCCAGTGCTGAGTCTGAGTCTCCTTCTTCCTCTTCATCTTCCTCCTCCTCCTCCTCTTCACCAGCCACAGCCTCCGACCAGGCGTTAAAACGCTGCAGGCCGCTGACATGTTGTAGCACTTCCTCCAGTTTGCGTTCATCCCCCTCTTCCTCCTCTCCCTCCTCCTCTCTCTCAGTGTAGGGGACGTTGTCATAAAAACTGAGCCGGCTGTCGACGGAGCCTGAAGAGGCACGACGCTGGCGTCTACTTTGCCGTCCTCTGAGGATCACTGAGTTTCCGTTATCGTTCCCGTTGTTGTTGCGCAAGCTCCCGTCTTGCAGGGCTTTGGGGAAAGTCCCAGGCTTGTGACCTTCTGGTAAGTAGAAGAAGATCATGCCCTCTTCTTCCTCCTCCTCCTCTTCCTCCACTTGTCTGCTATTGTCTCGAACACTGCAGTTGTTCCTGCGGTTCTGCTCATCAACTGTCATCCCATTACTGGCTTGGCAGGGGATGGGTGGGGCAGATTTGGATGGGGGTGTTGGCTGACGATCTGAAGTTTGTTGGAGAATGCTGAAAGGATCAAAACCCTCCAAATACATTCCTCCTCTCTTACTTGAGCCCGCTGCTGTGCTGTGGCTGCGAGCGCGAGTCACTGGGCTTGGTGTGCTCACTGCACTGCCACTGCTGGCTTCTGACTGGCTGCTCCCAGTACTTCCAGTGCTGCCGTTGCTGGTTTGAGTGGAGTATGATACAGAGCGATTCCGGTTAAGTGTCATAGTCTGAGTGGGATTGCGGTGGTGATTGAGGTTCTGGTTGAGGTTGATGCTGGAGATGTCCACACAGTTGAGGCTCCTCAACTTGTCATCATCTAGACCCTCTTTGATGACAGGGCCACTGATTTCTATCTTTCCTCCACTGGTGCTCCCCTTCTTCTTCCTCTTGGAGGAGGTGCCGCTGCGCAACCGTAGACTCTCCATGCGCTTTAGAAAGCTCTTAGCTCGTGAGCGTGTGCTTTTGCCACTTCCGCCTCCTCTGTCCAGACTCCCTCCTAGTCCTCCCATCCCTGTTTTCACATCAAATGTGAACTGTCCGAGTGTCTCCAGGGGTGATGGGGGCAACCCATCAGACAAAGAGTCTTCATTAGCGCATCCTGACCCGCCTGTACCCGAGGATGAACACATGCTAGCTACGGAGCTGGCTCGAGTGGCCCCAGCAGGTATAGCCTCATTTACCAGGGCGGCACCGTGGCCCTTCTCTTCTCCTTGTCCTCCACTCCCGCTGCTGTGGATGGAGCCCACTTCAGGCTGCTCACTGAGGTCGGTCAGCACACTCTCTGAACTGTTGCCTTCACGTAGGGCCAGCTTGCCTTTTTGGGATACTTGGTCCTTGGGGAATGATGGGGCCTGGGTGGCATCCGTGGACAGTGTGGAAAAAACCTCCAGCTCCTCCATACGGGACCAGCGCTTGCTGTCCCTTTGGAAGGTCCAGCGGCCACTGATGGCACAAGGCTCGTCCTCGTCAGAGTCCTCACTCTGGATAGAGGAGAAGGAGGGGATAAGGGAGATGGAGAGAAAGAAATAGCAAGAAGAGAGGGAAAAAAGAGAGGAAGGGGGGAGAAAGAGGAGAACATTATGCACTGCTTCATTTTCCATTCCTTTTCCAACATTCCTTACCTTGATCCAGGAAACTTTCCGGAGTTATGGAATTTATTTTATAATTATTCTAATTGTAAACTCTATGAAATATACTGATAGGATAGCTTCACAACACATGAAACTTAACATAAGAATGTCTAAGTAGGAATTATATATATATATATATATAGTATAGATATATAACAAAAGCAAAAGTTTTGCATAACATTATCTTAAACTTGGGCCTTGCGGTTGACCATAGGACTTGATAAAGGGAAAATAAATACAAAAAGACAAAGAGAAAAGTGGCCACTGCTCAGTCATATACAACACATATGCCCCTTCTCAAAATGTACACACCTCCCCCAGTTTGGTTAATCTATCTTAGGCCCTGGAGGGAGTTCAGGAAATTCCATTATGACCCCCATAGCTCTCAATGCAGCCCACCAGACTGGGGTCACCCCCCCTCACCCCATACTCTTCATCCCCTCTGTCTTTACGTATGCACGCACACACACTGAGTGTGAGACAGTGTCACTGATACACTGCTACACTCAATCTTTATTCCTCATCCATGACAGAAATATTCGACTTCTGTCTAACACACACACACACACACACACACTGAGCTGGGAGACTCCAGAGGAGACTTCTTCACAGTTACCAATCACAGTGGAGGACCAGAGTCCATAAAACCAAACCACAGGCCACAATTTAACCACCGCCTTCTCCTCACCTTTCTAAAGCCCTACCTGTAATCTGAGTTCACCAAAACATGAAAACTTTCTTAAATCTGCCAAAAATAAAAAGCTAAAAGTAGATAGAAATTGAATTGAGAGAGGTTGTTAAGCAATAATCAGCTAACCCTTTATAAAGGTGCCAGGAAATTAGCACTTTGAATAAAGAATTCCAGAAGAAAAAGATCAAATCCTCAAAATCCATGTTCCACTAGTTGTGTGCCAGTGTTCCACTTCCACTGGTCACATGGGCTCCACATACAGACATCATTATTTATATGTTTTGCAGTGGAAAATGACGTAATTTCAAATAAAAATTAACAAAGAGTGTGATCTATCCCTGGCTTTTATTAAAGTCAATGATTTAAAGAGGATAATGGAGCTTTTTGTGACACTTTTGGATGCCATTGTGGCTTGTTTCTCCAGTTATGCTGGTTGGAATGTGAGATAACCATGGTGTGCTATTTGTTGTGCATGGAGAACGGTGACTTCTGTCAACATTCTGGAGATATCTTATCCTCAAGCCATCAAACCACCACCGCATTCACTGCAGTGGTGGCCACTTTGAATGTCACAAGGAGTCTGCAGAATGAAAACTATTTAATCACTACAATAAGACAGATAGAAGGAACAAACCAGAAAAAATGAGACACAGGGAGATGGAGATTTAAGAGAGAGGGAATGTTAAGACATGAGGAGATCAATGCATTCCTAAGTTGTCTAAGGGGGGTGGGGGGGTGGGGTGGGGGGGTTGTCGTCCCACAAAGATGGTAAATAATCTCTTTGACTCCTCTACTCTTCTCTGTTGACTCCTGAAATGAAAGGTGACACAGAAAGGGTCATCCTAATGAATACCACCACGCACGGAACAAGGATGTTACTATGTAGCATTTGAGGCCATTAGGTAGTTAAGGTTGATTTGTATAAAAAGGAGTAATTCTCATCACAAAGTGACAGTGTATGTCACTCTAGGCTTCCTAGTTCCTTTGAAGCATGGTTTAAAATTGGAATATTCACACAATTATCCAACTTTCTTTGAAGAGGATAAAAAGCATTTCAGGAGGCCTGTTTCCTTGAAAGAGAAATCTATGAGTGTGATTTTGAAGTTTCGAGTTAAGTTTCTCTTAAAGACGTACAATGCACACACTCACAGACCCTTATGAGTATGATCACAGATAAAAGATGTATGGTGGTTCATTCTGCAGGAGTGTTACAAAAGCACCGTGCAAACTCTTTTTATGGTGAGCCAGAAGTATGAGGAAGTGTTTGAGAAAGAAGGGGAGCACGCCTTGAGTAGGGGGAGGTCCTGGTGAATGCAACCCCTTCATTTAGACATTAAAGCTACCCTCCTTGCCCCTAGGGTTTGCACAGCCCACTTGATATAGAAATAAACCCAACAGGTGCCTTCTCATTAAACTGGATGAGAGAAAACACAGCTTTGCCCTGTGGCCAAGAGTGAACTGATGGTTGAGGTGAGGAAATGCAATTGTGGTTGAGGAGACATGCAGGAAGGAGTGGAGTTCATGTGTATGCATGTGCACTTACTCGTTTTCTTTGTGGTGATATCTCCAGTCTCATTAGAGCACACTTGTTGAGCGTGTTCAGTCTCCTGCAAACAAAGCACATGCAAAACTGGTTACATTTAAAATGGGCTTTAAAATAATCGAGCTCTCTGATTTTCTCTAAAACACCAACCTCTCATGATCCAAGAGGATGTTTAATGGAAGAAAGGATGAAACAAGATGAAAAACAGATGAGGGGAAGAGAAAGACAAAGGGGGCATGGGTGCACCAACGCTGGCTAATGAGCTGCTGAAGGATAATCCCCACATGAGCGTGAAGAGAATAAGAGGGAGACAGAAAAGCAGAGAGCGAGGAGAATGAAATCTGCTGGAGTGGCGACGAAAACTTGGGGAGGGAGCAGAAAGCTTATCCCCCCAGCCACCTGGAGAAGAGGAGTGAGGGTGGTGGTGGGGTCCACCCTCTGGAGAGCTCTTAGAGCAGATCATGTAACAATGGAGAGATGAAGGGATGGGACTGAGGGATAGTTGGGGTTGTGGGGAGGGGGTGAAAGGCTGCCAAGAGAGAAGACACTGAGATGATAGCTTCCAGATGTATGGAGGGACACCTGCTGTGGTTTATTACTGAGAGTCGGAATTTGATGATGGAGCCGACTCCATTAAAGAGCCATTAACCTCCTAATTAATATGACTGGAGCTCCAAGTACAATGCAAACCCAATCTTCTCCAGTGCTACTTTATTTTTCCTGCCATTCAGTTCTTTTTCACACATACAAACCAATGCAAGACAGCTCCAAAACTTCACACAAACAAAGCTCTGAAAACATTTATTCCTCAGCTGTGGCTAGCAAATGGGACAGTATGTCCTATGTCTGCAACAACATGGAAAGAAACACTGAATGTAAAGAGCATTGCGTGACTGCAGCACCTAGCAGTGAAAGGTAGAACTGAGATAATGTGCTTGCCAGGGTGATATAACAGACTGTAATGACTGAGGAAAACACTATCAGCCACAGAGAAAGAACAAAATAAAGGGAGAAGATATGGTTATAGAAAACGTAAAAGGTACAGTGCATGGCTCCAGGGTGCTTATCATGTCATTCTTTCATCTCATCTGAAACTTTCCAAAGCATGCGTCCTTTTGAAGTCATGCCCTCATGGTTTCATGTGTGTGTGTGTGTGTGTGTGGGGGGACGACGACAAGAGATAGTACAGAAAGGAGGAGGAGGAGGAATAAGAAGAATGGTGCATGAGAAAGAGGAAATAAGTACAGAGGGTTCAGTATTTCTCGTAATCTCACCTGCATAGAGCCTCAATCGAATCCCGATCGAGGAAGTCATGGTCTCTGGTGACTGAGGAGATGTCAATGGGAAACTGGGCATCTAAAGAGAGAGAGGGTCAGATTAATGTGGGCATCTCCCTGCCATTGATTGGATCAGTGTGTTCAGATAAAACTAAAGATACAACCCGTAGCCTCGAGAAACACCCACCCACTCCAACACCCACCAGGACCTTCTGTCCCACCTTCTCCCCCAACCCATACAGCCTTGATGAAAAGCTAAAAGAGGAAGTAGCATCTTAGCCGACCAAACAAACACAGCTGCAGCTTTCAGACCGGGCAGGCAGGGGGGATGTGGAGCACAGAGGGAGAGAACAGGGGATTGATTGAAGAATGACAATAGGTACTCCAGCGCTGCTCAGAGGTCCCACTTCCTTTTCTACTTCTCGTTCTTTCTCTCTAGTCTACCTCATTAACAGGATCACTTATCAACTAAGTCACAGCATCGGTAAAGCGTGGCTTGCCATATTAAGGTTTTTTTAGCAACATATTCTGGAATGGGGATGGACGCACAGATACTAAGATGTTTTCTGGAATGTGTCGACCCAACCCAAAACGGGAATCTTGCATTTAAATCCTCTGGGGCAATGATGATAAGAAAATGTTACTTAGGAGAGGCCAGCACCTCTAGCCCACTGTATTGAAACAGGCCTATCAGTCTGCTTATCTTTAGTGGGGCAATAGTCTTAACAGCACAGACAATAGTGATTGTCCCACGGATACAAGGGAAGGAAAAATGTGTCATGTGTTGGCACAAATTCCTACTAGAGTGGAGACGGCTGCAAGAGACTAACCAGTGGGGCTCAGCGAGCTCAGTGATTGATTGTGGTTTGCACTTTTGTGCAATGTATGAAAACAGTCTCATCACCTGTGCTGAAACACAATGAGTTTTCCACTGAAATAGGAACTCAACCACGGATAAGTGGCAAGAAGCAATGACCTGTTGACAATGGTAGCTTAGTTCTGCTGTCATCGTCCTGTAGTTACATAAGCGCAACTGGTATGCCCATGGTATGCCTTAGTATAGTTGGAGTAGCTATATGGACTGTAAAGAATGTGTGATGTATTTTGGTGAGTGTGTATTTAAAATACAAAGGTTGGGGAGAGAATTCTTTATCAACCATTTGCAATTGTAAGAATATCTTTAGATGGTATAGAAAACCTGCTCTGTGTTTGTTTTAACAGGCTAGCAAAGACTTTTGGTCCCAAAAGAGAAACTATAGAGGTTACATTATAGTTAATATTTGGAATATAGTAGCGTGTACCTAGGTTTGTGTGACTTTACTTAAGTAGAGCAAAGAAAAAAATACACCCCTTACTCCTCAGGAATGTTGTGTGTGGTGTATATGCATGCACAGACGCAAGTGTGCATGTTGATGCTTTGTGTGCTTGACAACAGACGTAGTGGTTTTCTATATGAGCTAAACACCATCAGCTGTTACATACCAAAGGGGTGTGTATACACGATTATGATTTTTTTTTAAGGCTGCAGAAGTTGGTGTGGTAAAATAACAGCATTTAAAAAAAAAAAAACTCAAATCCCAGGAAAATCAGTCTGATTACCCTGATTCTCATTGTAACTGTGGCTTTCTCATACCAACATCCACAAGAACTGAATCTTTTTTGCCCTTCCTGTCCTTAGTATTGCCAGTTGATGAATGAGAGTGGTCCTTACCTTCATAAAGCTGGGCGTACTGTGGGAACCCTGCTGCCCGGAGCCAGGTACAGGCCTCTTTGGCTTCAATCTCTGCAGATGAGAAAAAGTGGAACAAAACAAAGGCTTGTCAGGTGTTGTGGGAGACACTTTAACCCACTTGAACACAAGATGTATTAAATGTGTACCTCACAAACAAAATAACAGAACAAAATCACAACTACACATATAGTAACCAAACCAAGGCAAAATGAATGACATACTCTGATACAAAGGCTTTTTATCACCACTAAAGTGTAAGAGATACACCATTAAAAAAAGTCAGACAATGTCAGCGTAAGACAAAAGTCTGGAACTGAGCGCTCCAACATGCGAGCAGCTTATCAAATGAAAACCCCTTGACCCTACTAGTTATCTCACACTCAGTCACTCTCCTCTCACATGCTCCTAAAGCTACAGCTCAAAGCATCATTCGTGCAAATTGTGTTAACCTCCTCACACGCCAAGTGTGTGCCACTTAAGCTCCTTATCCAGGTACGGCGGTGGTTTTTCGTTGTTCACACAGAGATCTCAGACAGAAAATGTCAGTGTTGAGCTTTTCTCATATGATGTGACTGTTCCCATAAGTATGCCATTACGTGACTTGTTCTTTGAAGCATTTTACTGTGATGAAAATAATTTTTGTTACATTGCAAACTTCTATTGGTCAGGAATCATGTTTACAACGCTTCTCCAACAGTGCCTAACAAAGTCTTCCATAACTCCCTTTAAAGGTGTGACATTTAGGCTTGTTATGCTAAGTACTACGACTGAGGTCCGCTGTGTGTCAGAGGAGCCATGGGGATGTCTCCCAATTATCTGCGAAAGGCCTTTAGATGACATATGCCAAATGGTTGTCCGCACCACAGCGTCCTCAATTGCTCCATCACCCCCACCGCCGACAGTTTGAAGAGAGAAGACAGACAGAAACATGTCTACAGACCTTAAGAAGCCGACTTTACAATGTCCCCTCTAGCAGAATGACAGCAAGTACAAATGTTGCACAACCTTGAGAAATACTTGTAAATTAAATTGGTGGAACAAAGGCAGGAAAAGACACTGGTAAACCAGAGATGAAAGCATCAAGCAACATATAGAGTGACTGTGAAATACTTGCTAATCGTGTCACCAGTGCGAAAACTGTGTGATTTCTGAAGTTCAGGCTGGATAGTTAAAGGTTTCCATTTCTAATGCTACAATCCTTGCAATCAGACATAATGCCCCTTACACTTTTAGTATGGGTGCTGTGTTTGGCTGTGTTGGGGAATTCAAAATAACCACTGGCAAAGTGATGCAGAGTAGTTTCATTTATCTTCGAAGGACCAGTCCAGCAGTTCCACCTCATTTCCAGGCTGAATTGAACCAAGGAATTGCTCTTTTTTTTTTTAGCTCAAGCTCTTGAACACAAACATAAAAGAAGAACAGAACATGATGAAACTGAAGTGAAGAATTTATAGTATTTTGGTCCTTACAGAGAAAATACAGAGATAAATAGGTGACATAAATGAGACATTATCAACTTGTAATTTAACTGAAAAAAAGAAAGGTAACTGTCAGACGGAGAGAGAGGTCAGAAGAAGACTAGTGCTGCAAAGGGTCTGGGCTCCACAATATATGAGCATTTACATACCAACAACAAGCCTAGACGGCAGACAAACCCACTAACAACAAGGTGTGACACGACCAAGACAGGGTCTCCCCCTCTGCCACTGCAGGGGCCAGGAACTGCTCAGGCAACCACTGCGACACCAGCGTGCACCCAAGTGTCAAATAACACATTAACAACTATGTTTTAACACTATTTATTTGACAATTGAGCTCCGTCTTTCCTTGTGGATGTGCAGTGGCATGTCTCAGACTCTGTGTGCTTGAGTTTGTGGGTTGAGCCTTGTATTTTTGAAGTGCAGTGAACCCAGAGGAGCGTAGGAACCAAGGGGTTATTATTCTTGAATGCAAGCACTTTGTGATTCTTGTGTTTGCTTGTGCATCTGTGTGTGTGTGTGTGTGTGTGTGTGTGTGTGAGAGAGAGTGTGCACAAGCAATTCTGTGTGTGTTTGCAAAGACCAACCTCATGTTTAAAGACAAACCACTCAAAAGACAGTAAAGCCATTGAAATGCAAATTAGATATACAAACACATGGTTAGCTTTCCACCCCCAAACCCCCCAAAAAGGGCTAGGGGATCCAATAAGTGCCTTAGGAGGGAAGCTATCCAGTGACACACCCCGTTGGGCTAGAATATGTGTCAAATCTACTTTACAGTGACATAATGTGGACAGTGTGCAGAGGAAATAAAATAATGACAGCCGCATTCACCAAACTGAATAATATTTGTCACTGCACCACATTGTGTCTCCATTCATTCACAGAGTAAAGCTAGAAAATGTTTCTATCTTTTGTTTGGCTGCAGGATGTGGACATCTGGCACAAACAAACTAACAGAGCAACAACACATCTGCATCTGGAATTTTAAAAAAAAAGTTGGATCAACAAAGCCGTGAAAGGGGTAAACAAGAATATCACAGGCACTGGTCATAAAAATGTCACCCTATAACACTCCGCCCAACCCTTTGCATTTTTGTTTGCTTCGATAACTTGAGTTTCGTGAGTGTATTTTATTTTTTGTCTTCCCCACTGTCCACCCTAATTCCTTAGCCCTCGCCAGGGAACTACCTCACTTCCTCTTCCTGCTTCCCTCGCAGGAAGAGAGCCGAGCGGCGCTGCAGTGGCTGCCGACCACCCGGCTGTAAGGCCCTGCCTTCGTTTGTTCCTGGCCAGATAATAGGCTGGGAGGCAGCCAAGACAAACATGGGCTCTGGTGAATGTGTGTTCTTACCAAACGTCCTCAAAGCCACACTGGACCCATGGTGTAGCGCAAACATTTAGCACTTGGATATAACTTACTTTATTTTCTACTTGAGTTACCCTTATGTAGAAAAGTGAAGTTGATAATGATGCTGAGATTTGGTCTACAGGTGGCACGTTGGCTTAAGTACAACAGATTAGAAATGTGGAAGGAGTCAGACCAGCACCATGATTTCCAAGGCCAACTACAGCACTGAAAATACAGCACGCCCCGGCAAACTAATTATTCTACAGCTGACCACATATTTCCTTATGTGCAGTGTAATTTCTGGAACATTCCTCTTCATGTTTAGTTTTCACATTAACTTTTTAAGAAGAATTAAAGTAAGCACAGATGAATGTAGTTACTCTAAAATACACACAAGTCCAAAGCCTTGTCAGCCTTTTGTCATTTCGACACCGGTGACGATGAGCTACAGCAGCAGTTTCTTCACTGCAAAAGGTAACCTTCTGCCAGTACATAAACCAAACCTGTTTCCTGTTTGGTCATCTCATTACCATCACTGCTTGTCTGGTTGTCAAGGAATCTGAATTCAGACCAGCCCAAAACTTGTGACCTGCTGAGGGAGCCAAACAGGATGTCTGAGGCAGGTGGGTATGTGGCTAAAACTGCACTGGCCTCATTAGGACAACAGATGGAATATGTGTTATATTTTTTTGATATATTTTATACAGACAGAAATGCAGAGAAATCCTCTAAGTTGGAATAAAAGAGTTTGCCACACATTAGTTGTGGCTGATATGAATGAGCAAAAGCAATGCAGTCAGACACCCTACGTCTCAGTGGAGATGAGAGCGATTATCAGCAGATAACATGACTAATAAGAGCCAAGCAGATGCTAATAGAGATTTCATATGGATCACGAGTGGCTTTTCTCTTGGAATTTGGCCAAAGCTGAGCTGGTGAGCGGCCTGTCAGGGTTAAGCTTCACCCTCTGCCTGGCAGTTTTGACTTCTAAAATTATCCATCATGGTCCTTTCTTTGCTTTCCTTTCCCCTGCTCTCACCCTCGTCTCCTCTGATCTTTCTGCTTATTTCAAGTCTGCTTGCCCCTTCTCTTCTCTCCTTTCCTGTGGCAGGAAATTCTCACAATTGCCGGCCAAAGTTTCCCTCCATCGCAGGAGGCAGCGGGGTCTGGCTTGGCCGAGTCTGAATGCTCAGCTCCAGTGGGAGTTTGTCAGCAGCTAGCAAACAAAGGATGCTGCTCCCCACCTCAAAGGCTCTGGTACATACAAACGGCAAACTGGAGGTCAAGAGTCTGAATACAGTTATCACAGGAGCTGGGGCTTTGAAGTAGGCAGATTGAGAAGAATGCTTGACTAACAACTGTTGTGAATTGAGGTGGCTTATCTGGAATTACCCGATCATTGCTGGGTCCCAAAGTGCCGACTGTAAAACAGCCCAAAAGGCAGGCAGAGGGTTCTTATCATCTGCAGGTCTGAGTAGCTCATTCTGAAGGAGCTGCAAAGTGGGTCTAGACAGGTGATGTGATAAACCGGGGCAGACTCTGAGGCTCAGTTGTAATCTACAACAAGCAAAGCCAGGAGCCTGGATGCTGCCAGCGTTTGTCCTTCACCTCAACGGTGACAAGGACGGACTGCTGATGTGTTCATGAACTTGAAGAACATGTTACTGATTGATTCATGATCTAATACTTTATGAAACTATTTCACGAATGATCACAATGTTCTTAACAGATTGTGTCTGTATGAAAGTTTCGAGAACAACTGGAGATAACAACTTTTTTTTTATGTGACCAATGTAAAATCCCTCTCTACTCTACTGGAATGCAAAGAGAGACGATAACAGATGTTTTTTCTGATGGGTATCATGTTTTCTGATTTCATGGCTGAGACAGCTGGCTGTTCGCTGAGAGGGCCTGGCTGTTAGCTAACTGAGATTGTGCCAGGAATATCGCCATCTGGCTGGCCTCAAGCTATGCCCCGTTGACACACACACACACACACACACACACACACACACACACACACACACACACACACACACACACACACACACTAGAATAATGAGGTTACTACCATGGCCCATTCCAGTTATCTACCAGCAGCCACATGCAAACACACAGCTGGCCCAGATGGATCATCGCAGAGCTAACCCCAAAGGCCTCTGTGCACCCTGGTGACATATTTATCCTCACACAGAGGGCCCTAGCTGTGGATCAGGTGACCAGGCATATTCAAAACCTCTGATAACTTATCCACCAGCCAGACGATGGCCTACCTGCCGGGGCCCCCCCTTAACGGCTATCCATTCATAAACAGATCCCAGGACAGCCTGGTACCTTCAACACAGGGGAGGTATAAGAGCAAAAATGAACATACATGTCTCCTCACTGGACATGAAGAAACAGTGTACCATCTGGATGTAAATCTTTTCAGATAAGGCCTCAACTCACTTCCTGTTTCACAAAGAGTGCGGGTGAAGCATGTTTTTGTTCATTTGCTCCTCTCCCGGCTCCACCACCTGTTACCATAAACCAACACCACCTATCCCAGAGAGAGAACTAACTAACCACTTCAGAGGACGGTGTGGAAGCATGGTGTCAGTGTCACATCCCCACATTAGTAGTTACTGTAAATACTGTAGATCCACCTTACATCATGGCTAGATATGAGTATCTTTGAGATCTTTCTTAATGGTTTTACGGCTCCGCTGAACCTCATGGTGCTCATATCTGTTCCAGCTGATAAGGAACCATGTGTTGGAACAAATAGTTAAAACAGTTAAGACAAAGGGCCAAAGCCCACAAATCAATTTAAACCTGCCAGTACAGGACACAAAACAGGATTTTATACAGCCACAACACGTCCCCCCAAATTCCCCTGTTAGCAAAAGGTCGGCAGTCAGGCAAAAGGCACAGACAGTTAAACAAACTGTGAGGGCAGTGAAATGGCAGAAGTGTGGCAGACTGGTAGGAAACCTCCTGATCTTAAATCTTAAAAAGACACCATATACCACTAAAGCAGGTTCATGACCCTGTTTCCACACGCGGATCAAAGTTCAATGAATTCCTATTGAAACTTGGTCTGCTAGAAGACTGCTGGAGCTTTGAGCGCAAAAGGACGATAATTTAGACAAAGATTTGTCTTAGGATCAGGAAAGCATCCTTCATAGGGTCGAGGGTAACTTGGGAAAAGTCACAGAGTATTCAAACGGGACATTCAGTGAGTTCGGAGCAGGAGTGAGGACATTTGGAGGCGCTGAGATAAGCGCAACGCGTGGAGATTTCTTATCTGACAGCCCGCAGCGTTGCGCCTTAAAGACGCCTTTAAGAGAGTTTTACTTGAAGGTAAAATTCAAGCAAACCTTCAGACTCTTAAATGCTGAAAGTTACTTTGAGTGAACACTGTGTACAGTACTAATTATGCCTACCAGTAAGCTGTGTTTTCCTGGACAAACAGGAAACCGCTTGAATGTATGGACACAATATGACTTTAAATAGAAAAGCAGCAACAGTAATTAATTTTCTAACGCTGAAGGTAATGATTCTGGGAAGGACTTACGTGTTAATATCATTTTTCAATGTCTCGGTCGCGACCAGCTTCAGCATAAACCCCTGCTCCCGGCTGCGCCCCGGCAGGCTGCGGCTGTCCGGTCAGGTCTACTCCACTGTTAGGACGAAGCCCGCATGATAAATCCAGAGGAGAGAAAAGATCTATACAGTCGGCTGCAAATGTCCTCTGAGCGTTGCGCAAGACAGTAAATCCATGGTTATAATTTGATTTGTATTAAACAGAAGTCCACGATCTTCAACTACTTCCACCACCGTGAGTCCCTGAATGAAGCGGTCCCTCAGCAGGAATGTGAATGGAGAGTATAGTGATTCAAGCTTTAGGAATGGGCAGCTCTGCCGTGGCTCCACCCCCCACCCGCTCCGCTGCTCCCCACCTGATAAGGAGCTGGAGGATATACACAGATCCACTCAGGACAAACCCTGCACCTCATAATGTGGAGGGAAGGAGTTTGTGACGATTATGAAAAAAAAAACAAAACAAAAAACCGCTCTGATAATGACACTGGAGCAGCTGTTTTAATCTGTTCTCTGCACTCTGGTGACTACTGTTAATCTGATGTTTGTTTGTTTCTCCATTGTTCCAGTGATTTTACTTATCATTAAGATGTGTTTTAGTTTTAAGAATATTACCCATATAAAATGGAAAGTGATTCACTGGCTCACCAGGATTCCCCTTTCTTCATTTAAGCTCCTGCCTCGCCTGAGCCTCGACCACCTCCCCTAACAGGCTGCAATTGACTCCGAGATTGGAGGCCAGTTTGCATATCATTAGAAAATAGTGGAGACGACTGAGAGACGCTCTATTGTAACGCAAGATTAGTCTGAAAAGCGCAAGTGGCGCATTGAAAAGAAAGTGCTCCAGGTATTGTAATGCCTCTGTCCCTGATGCACGTACACCACGCTCAGGTTGTCTCTGCAACAACACATTCCAAATCCTACAGGCAGGGCAGATTTTAGGAAGTCAGAGTACCGAGCAGCAATCACTGAAACAAAGAGACAAAATAAAGTTTGAATTCCTTGATACCCTCGGGGCATACAAGGCTTGTTCATTTAAAACCAAAGATTTCTAGTTTTAAATTTCTGTTTTTTAAATGTTAGACTAGAAGCAGTGTTTCTTTTCTCATTCAGATAGAGACATGATGCAGTGCTCATATTTATGTGCCATGTGTTTCTGCTTCAAAACAGCCCCTCTAGTTTTCATATTTTCCCCTCCTCTTGATCCTAGGGGACTTTTCATCCACAGTTTTCCAAGAACTCCTTAACGACGTCAGCATTTGGCATCAGCCAGCTCTGTGTTATTTCCATGGCAACTCACAGGCGCTGAGGTGGCGCAAAAAAAGGAGGAAAGCCAGAGGAGTCACCATGTGGCAGAGAAACACATGTAATCCAAAGTTTGGGCTGCCAGGGTGGGGAAAGGATGATGCAGAAAATCAGGGCTGGCTAATGTGCAGTCTGTTGTTGGCTGCCATACCGGTCCCAGCTGACAGAGGAGTCACAAGTGATTCACCCAAAAGAAATCCTGCCAGCAAAGTCATGAGTCTTTACAGCACAGGCATTCATGAGAGGGGTGAAGAATCATTTGAAATTTTTGCCTGTACTAAATACTTTTGCCCATTATAGGAGCAGTGCTAATAAACATGTTTCAAACACTGGTTAATTATAGTGGATTTTTATCTATATCTATAATTGGTGAGGCAGGAATGTTTATGTGGCACTACAAAACACAAATCTCAAATGGATTTCTGCTATTAAAGGTACGCATTTGACAATTTGTTCATCATCTGACCCAAACATGAGTAACTTCACTATGTAGGGTAACACACTGTTTTGCTGGAGACACATATCAGCTCGTACTCAAAACGTTTTAAGGTTTTCCTACCAATAGGTACACCTAGCTAAAGCATACTGTAAGCATTGTGTCAACAGATCAGCAGTAACATCAGTGTATGAATATCAAAGTAAACACAAAACATGTGAGCTTATGAGCTCATAAAATTATGGAAAACCTCTTATGATTTCTATCCTTAAATCTGTAACCTGGAGGGAGGGAGAGAGATAATGAGGGACTGTTAATGTGTGTGTGAGAAAGAGAGCAGGAGTGATATTGGAGGATAGAGAGAGAGAAGAGAGGAAGGAGAGATGAAGAGAGATTACCAAACAAGGCCAAATCCCCGAGCCACAAAACCCGACCACCCAGAGGCTGCACCCAAAACCCCCAACCCAAAGCTACCCTCGACTGAGATGGGTCAATAACCCTGCGCAGAGATTGAGGGGGTTCACGCTCTCGAGTTGTTTTGTGGTGATAAACACGCAATAACACCAGCGGTTGTTGATGAATGTGTGTGGTAAAGCGTGAGAGATCAGACAAGCAGACTGCCGCTGCTGCCAGTTGCTCAGGGGCAGATGAGTGTGTCTCTTTAGAGTGTCTACAATTTTCATTCATCAAAGCTCGTCAGACTTAGGCGCTTGTTTGGCTTATGATATAGATACAGATCAAATACACGCCAGCATAATAAGGGCTTTGGACAAAAGAGAGGAAATGAGGAGAAGCATCAGTGTTACAATAGGCCGACACAAGGGATTACACCTGGTATTAAATGTAGCTTCTCCTTGGAAAAGGAAAAAAAAAACTACTTATATTTAAGGCAGGGAAGTTTTAGTGGATTATATCATGATTCATTGTAAATTTTACTCATGTCTCTAACTGTCTCTGACTGCCCAGGTGTAAAAATAAAGCAAACCACAGACATTTTATTTTAGTAAATCCCCATCAACTTGTTGCTGCTGGATAGTTGGGTGAAGCTACTGTTGTAGGTTGTAAACTTTACAGTGTCACCTCTGACCCTGAGACGCAGGGAGGGGCTGGAAGAGGAAGATAGAGAAAGTGAGAGAGAAAAAAATAATAAAAGAAACTCTTTACAAAGACAGATATGGAGAGAAATGAAGAGAAGGCAGTGAAAAAATGGTAAAACAGAAACAGAAAAGAAAAAAAATATGATGCAAAGCAAAGATGAAAGATTTTCCCCCATTATGGAGAGGTGTCCTCTGGGCTCGCCTTGGGGTTTATGCTTCCCTCTTCTACCATTCCTAACCCCAAACAGCGGGGCCAGGTGAGGGTCAGCGGACGGACGTGTCAGTCCAACTCACACACAAACACCCAAGGCTGTGTCAACAAAGACTCACAAAAGAGATAACCAAATTATGGGTCTGCAAAGGTCATAGTGGTACTCCTGAAATAAAGATGAATATGTTAGGTGTGTGTGTGCAAGTGCTTATAAACACGTGTAATCTGACTGACTTTTTTATGGTTGAGAGTCTCTATAAAAAAAAGTCCATAAAGATGCTTTTCATCACCGACAGGAAATTAAAAAAAGGTAGGAGAGGAGCATTTATTTATTTATTACGTCACTACATTGTCAGTTGACTGTGTGTGTGTGTGTGTGTGTGTGTGTGTGCGCATGTGTGATTGTCTTTTATTCAGAGGCAAGATAGACATATAGTGACTGTTATTTTGGATCTATACAACTGCCACTGTCCTTGAGACTTGAATCTAAATGCCTCAGATGATAAGCGTGTGTCCTCTGCCTTCCACTGATGCAGTCTGAGATAATGACTTTAACTGCTGTGTGTGTGTGTGTGTGTGAGATTGGGAGAGAGAGAGAGAGAGACAGAGAGACAGAGAGAGAGAGAGAGAGAGAGAGAGAGAGAGAGAGAGAGAGAGGGTGGGGGATAATCTTTTCATAACAGGAATCTCCATAAATAGCTCATCCATGGTCTTGGGGATCAGCCCAATAAGACACTGATTAGAGAAAGAGAAAGAAGGGGAGAGAGAGAGAGAGAGAGGGAGAGAGAGAGAGAGCGCCTCCACACACAATGGTGGGGAGGAAATGCAGGGAGACAGAGGCTTGGACCAGCACACACACAAACACGCACACAAACAAAGGAAGTGTGAAGCAGACAGCGGGCCAAATGCCTCGCCGACACCCTCTCCGGACTTTGATGGACTGACCACGATCACAATAGAGGCAGGAGGCTGACACACACACTTAAACAAACATTGAATAAGTATTGCACTACCATATATTTTTCATCCAGATGGTGTGGTTCTTTATGTTGGATCATCCATTATCATTGAAGTTCTAAACACTAAAGCAGGAAAAATGAACCATTGAAGGAGGGTTGCTGAAGATTTGAATTGTGCAGGGATAAGAGGCTTTTAAGTGATAGACTATTGTGTGGGGTTTTGTCTGCGTGTCCACTTACATGCATACACTCGCACACATTATTTCAGGGAGAATTAAAGCCTGCACAGCATCTCACAAATTAAATGAATGTGACTAAACTGAAAGAAGATAGAAAAAAAAGCACCAACTTTCACATTTGATGAAGCTAAGCTAGGTGCTAGGTTCAAAATAGCCTGGATAATGGCTTCCTGCTCCAAACAAAACTGACTTTATTTTACAGTTTACAGTAGAGAGTACAGATGAATAGGTATATAAGATGTACACCTGTGATATTCACCACAAACCTGCGAATCATTTAGGTCAGGGACAGTGTGTTAACACAGCTGATACACGAGTGGATCTATCTATCAGCCCTAATACAAAACTGAGGAGTGATTGATGGAATCTGTGCTCGATTCATCTCCATTTTATCAAGAAAAACTCAGACGGGGAGTGATTGTCATTGTTCAAATGTGAAAATACTGCTTACTCAGTGAGCTGAGATATGAAGCATCGTTGGACAGTGCTACATGAGACATTGCTCTGAATGTTTTGGAGGTTTAAAACAACACAAAGCGTATTGCTAACTTTACAATACATGTGCCAGACACCATTATACACATCCCATGTATTTTGCCAATTACTGTTTTACTTTTACAAACTGTAACAACAGAAGGACCGTAGTGCGTTAGTGCCCAGAGTTTGCTGATAAGGTAAATTTCTTTCACTCAGCCAACTGTAAATCTTGTGCTTTGAGCACCACTGACATCTTAAATCACTGTTTCCCTGTAAAGCACTACCATATGTGACTTCTGCTCAACCTTGGCTTTTAGACAATGGCAGGGAGAAGTACTGGCCAACACTAATGTGTAAATGCTAAAGCAAACAGTGTTTAAGTTTGAATATACACACACATATGTACACCTATACACTCTGTTACAACTGAAATTCAGCTAAATGGTCTCAGCACGTTTATTTTCTTTACAAAGGAAGCTCTGGATCTACAGGAAATCCACTCATCAACAGCCCTCTGTAATGTCCTG